TGTCATGTCGGAGTAAGTTTTGTACGGTTTCATGATGTGACTAACATTTGTTGTAGAAACATCAAATTAAAAGCCAAATAATAGAAGTCTCAATAGAGCATGTTGATGACGAGGTTTAATTCTGATTGGTCTTGCGAAGTCAAATGAGGTAGATACCACGTTTCTCGTGTTGACACGGAGCTCCAAAATTTTGCTATTTCAAATCAGTCAGCCAATTCCGTGTCTATGTGGAAACACTACACCCATGCTGATTTCCTGAAAAAGGTCTATCTTTTTTCAATTCTGCTTACCAAATCTGTTGGCGAGGGAAGATGGCCTTTGCGGATCTGACTGGCATGGATCTTTAGAACTGGAAAGTGTGGATAGACGAGTCTTTGATGTCACTGAATCCTAACGAACACTTTCCCATGACCTGTTCGGAATAAAAAAGTGGTGGACTTGACCTTTGGGTTGTGGTTGGGTTCATGATTTATTCCCCAAACTGACCTTTGGAATTCTTATGAGTTAGTCCATGCTAGAAAACTAAGTTCAGCTTTTCGCTTTTCTTTCCAATCTGCATGATGTCAATAGTGATCATGTACAAAACACGTTGCCTACAAACTTACGAATGTCAAACCGTCTGTCGTCAACATCGGCAAACAGTAAGCTCCGTATTATTTCCTCTGATTCTTGAAGATCCAATTGTCAAGTTGAGTTTGATGTCCTACTCCTTGAATACTGGTATAAGTTCACTTCTAAGGTTGGAAAGTCTAAGTAGATAACCGGCAGCATTGAGGAGATTTATATTTTATTACAATCCGACTATTATCAAATAATATATGGATAATGTGACGAGGAACTTCTCTTTTGAAGACGACTCGTTCTATTATTTCAAATTTTTTCACATGCACACATCTCGGTCATGATTCAAGCAAAAATCATGTGTTAATGCTCGTTGCAGGTTCTGAAACTCCTTAATAGATACGGTTGGTAAAAAATAGTTCCCATAAATGAAGTACAATCGGAGCTGACACTTCTTCATGTGTTTAAATGAAAACAAATGCAACCATGAACTAATCAAGATAAATCGAGATGCAGGGATCTAATCCAAGTGCAGTAAGCCTTATTCTGTTGTTCAGGCCCACATCAAAGTGGATTTGGTACAGGTACACGTAGAAGTCAAAGCATCTGTGGACAGGGTACGTACGAGAGCAAAGTGTTTGCCACGCTAACTTTGGTTGGTTACAGTTGGATACAGTGAAGTACACGTACTGCAGCTAAACACGCATTACTTGTTATAGGCCGACAAAGCCAAAAAACTGCTAAAAGACATTCTCTTCTTCGTCTGATCATCGTGGAATTTGATATCGGCAACATTCCATCCAAAGTGCGAACGGTGGTTGCCATAGCGGACCAGTTCTGGCGCTCTCGTATCGGATCAATGTATGCTGTGCAGCCACTTGCTGTGTATTCGAGCGCCGCACAACAACGCCGCACGCCGGTTGCATCCGTGTTCAAGAGTCATACTTCCGGCAAGATCTGAACTTTCATGGGAGTCTGACTTCCATGTTACAGCCGGGAAGCCATGTTGAGGCCAGCGTGGACAGAATGTCCACGTCGGCTCTTGTCTCTCCATCGTAGGATTGACCGGACTGTCGAGACGGCTCACGGTTCAATAGTGAACTAGTACTTTGTCGTTGTTGGGCTAGACTTTGTGTCCAAAATCAGAAATACTCTTGTACATGCCCCATCCAAAATTAGATGTCTAATCGGACAGGGTTTCCTTTGCCATGTTAGCCCCGGGCAGATCAAACCTTGCAACTCTACCTTGCCTTTACTTCCAAATTAATATTATCTTAATTCACTTGAAAATTCAAAAGAAAGTGGCAAGTTGTTTTCAATGAGAAGCTGGCACACAAAGAAAGTTGCGAACTCAGTCTCTTAAAAAATTTCAACCAGAGCTCAAACTTATGGGTTGTTAAGTATTTAAGTAACTCTGAATGAAACCAATAAAGCGAGAAGTGCTAACAATGAATCCTCAATTAATTGTGGATGGACTCTACGTGATTTTATTTTTTATGAATAAGCATGAATATCAATGTCATAACTTTACATTTATAACTGAGAGTTTTGACAGACGTACGCTGTGTTTACACATCACAATATAGCTATGTAGACTGCATTCCTTTGTCAAGAATGTGAAGTGACAAAGCAGACTTTTCTCACACATCACAGTCCACCTCTAAAATTAGTCAATTAATTATTTTTTCTAACTATTTTTTTACTCTTACCATTACCATCCATTAGTTTGTTCCTTGAAGCCCTCCAATGTGCATGGACTCATGAATGTGAAAGTTAGAACCTTGGACTTTTTCCTTTCAAGAGTAAATGACTTTAATATATTCCTATCAGACATTCGCTGTATAAATACTTTTTAAGTATTGATGTTTTCACAATTATACCCATGCATCCAATACTTCATTGAAGTTCATATATTAGATAGAAGTGGAAAATTGCACCGAAAGTCGGCTTTCTCTTTATTTGAGACTGTGAAGTGCCGTAGTCTTCATTTCTGTTTGTTGAGAATGAGAGACCCTTCATCACTCCATCTTAGGTTTCTTAGTCTTGGGACTGAATCTCGTTGATTACCCAAAAATACCAACAGATAGCAGTTAAAAATCCATGAAGGTGGAGGTGCGCTACTTGAAGCATGACGTCCGGTTGAAGAGAAGAAATATGTTTTTCGATCAACCGAAGTAGATTTTTCACTTTAGAAATCCAATGTAAGAGAGTTGAATTTTTTTCGTCAAGAAGAAAAGGAGTAACAAGAACAAACATATAAACTTTAAATCTGAAGACAAGCATAGCGCTACACTTTCATTTTCATGCTTTCGTCATGGTCATACACAAGCATTCCATATGTCATTCGACGTCCATTCGGTAGGAAAGGGATTGGAGCTGAAATGGCATCTTGTCAGCATGAATCTGTCAGCCTGCGACAGACTTCGGCGCGTGTCTTCGCGATATGGGCGGTGACGTCGAATCACCAAATACCGGATGGAAGTCGATACGATGCTTAGGGAGACGGCTTCGGATGGGGCTCATGGGAACGGGAGGGACAATGATTCTCGCCGAGCCAAGTTCGAGATCGATGGGTTTGGGAAATAAGTGGCCAACATTGTCGTGGAATTTCACAGCAGTTCCCGGGGAAAATCTAATGATCATTAGGCGGAAGGTGGGGCCTATCTGCCTCTCACGGAGGAGCAATGTGCGGGCCTCGGGTCATTTGTCACTCCTTGTTCTCACCACCTTTTTACGCGAGGGTGGTACTGTCCTGTACTGAGTCAGAACGGAGTATATTTGGCAGATGTGACGTCGAATGGCCAATTATGAAATTTTCCGGTACAAGGTGGAAGGGTTTTGGATTAGTTCCCTCGCAGGCAGCTTTGTGTTTGACGATGTGATAAGATTGTTGACATGTATTACGCCTGGTCCCACGCACAAAGGCCCAAGCGGTTTCCCGCGGGATCGGATGTTCGCTCGTTCACCCAAGCGCTCGAGTATATGCTATGTTTCTCGAGCTGCACTTACGTCTCGAGAAGAATGTAGGGCAGTTCCAGGTAGTTCGGGATGTGCTCAAAAAGTAGAACGAGTGGTGATAAGGATGAGCACAATGAACATGTCCTGAAAATGTGGAGACTGCGACCTTCAGTAAGAGTGTGGTGCTCTTTCGTTCCTAGGTTCTGGGCGATTAATCTCCAGAGAGATTGGTACTGGAAGTGCTGCAGCATCATACCCAATCTACTTGTACGATATTGTCGTCTGACTCTGGTAGAGATGACAATAAAGTGGTGCTCAGTGCTCATGTTTCCGCTTGCGGAAGCTCTTAGTTCCTGCCAAGGAAAACAAAATTAAATGGATGAAAGGAACTCGGCAAGACAGTGCATCTCTGTCAAGGGTGAATAGGACAGTAAGTAGGGCTTCCAGATATAAATAGGGCGTGTGGGTCCGGCTGTGCCATGATGTGGCCATCAATCTTGGGCAAGGGTCCATTTTGAATGTGCCATCCCAATCTTCTCAAGGACTTTTGGAATTCATTCAGGTTGTACCTTTCATTGCACTGCTGGTCTGACCACCTAACTATCAGTTTATATGGAACTAAAGGGTTGGAAACACAATACTATCACTTAGCCTCGCACATTGCTTCACAAGGATGCAAGGATAGAAGATTTTATTGTCGGCGTAGCAAATTGTAAATCCTAGTATACTTTTCCACACTCGGTCGCTAGACAAATAGCTATCTTATCTTACAACATCTTGGTTCATCGGTTAAAATAATATGTTGTATCAAAGGACATTAAAGCAATTCCAGCTAATAATTTTAATAATACAAAACTTAAATCTTATGATTAGATTAGTTATAATGATTTCAAATGTTCAACTATTTTAAATAGAATTACGCACGTTTATCGAGATTCATTTGTTTCGTGTTATCATTCTAAGTCATATTTGTACAATGTTTAAACAAAGAGTATTCGATACAGACTTCGAGCTCTAGACTACGCAAATTGTGTAGTCTAGAGCTCATACTATATTTCACTACAAGAAATTATTTCATAGACTCGTGTATAATCTTATGTAATTGTAGTATATGATCTACTTGATCATTTATGCTTAGTTCTAGCTTAATCAGTTATTTATCACATCAACAAAACGATCTAAGCCTCTTAACAGATTTTATAGACGTTTCATAAGGTCTTTTCGGTCCTTAATTTTTGATGAAAAAAACACTTGGAGATCGATTGGAACTTTGGTACGAAAATAAACATATTAGTTAAAATTGTGGAGATATGTGTTAATCTTGTGCTAAGCTTTGGCGTATCATGAACATGATAGAAGTCAAATGTATCATATTTGTATTTTTGATTAGTTTCTGCTCTAGCCTTGAGATTAAATTGGGCTACCTATATTGATGTACAACATGTTAGTGCTGATTTACCCAAGAGTAAATTATACTAGGAGGCAAAGTTCCCTACTTGTTTTCGTAAAGGTTGTAACCAATTTATTAATTGCTCTATTCAGAATTCTCCAGTGCTGTGAATAGTAGCTATATGCAGTTTCTTGATACTATTTTGAAAGTTAATGTTGTTAGTAAGGTTTCGTTTTGATAAATGGGATACGTAAGGAAATGAGTATTGATTTCCTAAAGCGATGACAAGAGGCCCTAGGAGATGCCCAATACCCATACTTTTGTCTATATCACTTGGTCCCCCTTCTTCAGCTCTGTTCTGATTTGGAGTGTCTGTGGAGCTCCAAATGGACAAACTTGTTTGATTGCATGCTCATTCCTGATAAGACACCACGTGCTGTTCTCGTTATCCGCGAGTTTATAGCTGTTCTTGGAGAACAGTAATAAAGACCCGGATTAGAATGAGCCGGGATCTTATGAAACGATCGAAGAGAAGGTGGCCTACGCTGACATGAAAGTTAGAAATCTGTCTGCTCTGATCCTTGAGAGTAGACAGGAAAATCATTCTTCAAGTATATCCTCGAGGGTTTTCTTGCAAGTCAAAAAGCCCGAGTAATTGGAGGATCTCTGCGTAATATGCTGGCGATAATGGGATGAACACGTCTTCAAGTGTGATTTAAGCAATATGTAGATAAAGATAGTCAGAAACAAGGAGGTAAGACTGCAGGGGAAATTAATTTGTTCTAACGGTAAGTAGTTGAGTTGAAGGCAAATGGCAGAATGGGGGCGGGCCAACGCCACTTGATAAGATGTCAGTTGGATGATGAACTTTACTAATTACACGAATCGAAAGGATATGCCTCAGTACTAAGAGCTCCTCACGTAAGGATAATCCCAAACATGAGCAAGTTGGTGCTTCAGGAATAGTTGATGAGAGTCATGGGAGATGAGAATGAAGGTGCTCTTACTCAGCATTCCTCGAACACAGATATCAGGCCAATCATAAATGCCGGGAGTGATGCAACAGCCGAATTCAAAAGCCGGCGTTGGAAGGAACTTCAAGGAAGCCTCCACTCAGAGCCAGTGCCAGCGTTGCAGATGGCACTTGCCGAATTCGCTGTAACTGGAAGTGGTTGACTTCATGCCTTCTTCTGCAAGGAAGGCGAAGCAAAACCTGGCCGAATGAAGTACTCCTACCTACGGTCGATTAGCCCTATCTGCAAACTACCGTCACTCATTCGAGCCCGGCCAGCCTGTATGTTGCCATGCTGCGACAAATCGTGGACACCTCCTGGAGGTCTCAAAGAGGCACCTCCTAAAAACATCGGTCAGCGGCGACCTGCGGGCTCCCCCATGTCACTTATAGTCTCTAGTGACTCACGCGAAGATCTTTAGATCTCGAGCCCAGAAATACCGAATTCCTCAAGGGACTTCGGAACCCAGCGACTCTCTGCTTTGGGCTCAGTTCGTGCTTCCAGACTTTGATCTCGCACTCCAAGCCCCCACTCCTTGTCGCACAACCAAAAAGCTTCCAAAATTAACTCCATCCTGCGGCATAGAATCAGCCCTCCCTTTACGCAGGCCACTGCGTCCATACATGTACGGAGGGCATCGGCCTTGTCTGGCAAAAAGGTAAGATCTTGCTCCGGTTTTCCACCATCGATCGGTCGTCACTTTCCCCGGAGTGGGAGCGGAGGCCTTGTTACGCTACCATTTACGCCACCGGATTCTGATTTGTCGCATTTCTTGGCACAAAGCTCGCTCGCTCGCACCTTCATTCTTCTCGGATCACTGTCATGGGTCCTTCAGCTCCTGCTCATCGGCAGAGCGCAGGGCACCTGCAGTTGCGGATCCTGAACAAGATTCAGTCCGGAGCTGTAACCTGGCCCCAGGTCACAGTCCGTCAGACAGAGCCTTTCTCAACCGCCCACCGACCGTACCCCTGTCCTGGAGCAAAGCCTCTCGGGAGTCACATGGTGCAGTAGCACATATTTCCCATTGCGATGCTTTTGGGGCTTGCCTCATCCTGACACTTTGGTTTCATCCACGTACGGGATACTCCCGTATTTCTGCTCTCATACTTTCGGGATAGCAACTAGCAGCTAGCAAATCTTCGTACGTCGGGCCATGAGCCTTGGTATGAAAAACCCCACATTGTACTGTATGGATACACACACACACTCAACATGTAATCATAGTACACTCCTGCTAGGGGAGGCAATGATAATCACCGAAAGCTTTGTCGACAGGTCATTTCACACGGATCGTAACTGCCAGAGACATATTTCACGGATGTGGCCTAGATGAAGACCAGCTGCCGGAAGGGTTTGGGTGTGTCCACGGCTAAACGGACAGCAGGAGCAAGACTTCATGTCCTGCACGGTACTTCTTCCCGGGAGCAGCTTCTGGCTCTACTATTCCCCCTCCCGCAGGCCTTCTTTCTCTTCCGAGCTACAGAAGAGTCCCGGCTACGAGGGTACAGGGCAAGCAGACAGTCGCCGTTTGAAGTTGCCTCGCCTTTACTTCATTTATTTTGTGTTTTATACGAATAAATATTTATCGCCTCCAACTCCGAGGTCTCACATTGTACCTTCCTCCAGGAACAGCGAGGGAAAGAACCACCACCGTGGAGAGGATGGTTTCGTTCCTGTAACCAACATAGTTTTACCATTAGCCACTCGTGTCTACTAACTTTTGGAAGTTGTGGGTGAAATCTGTTCGATATATATACATGCCAATTATACAAAAAACAAACGTACTCTCCCTTCGGCGAAAATCAAGTACTTTTAGCCGAAAACGCAGTCTAAACTATAACATCTTAGCTTCAAAAATGCTTGGTTTTTCAAGAACGTGGATTTCATAACATAAATTTTTTTATTTAATATTTTCATTTTTATAAATTAAAAAAAATAAGAACCAAGTAAAGTTCAAATATTTATACACTGCTAGACTCCACACTTCGCTTACATACATGCATGAATATAGTGTTATATTTAAAATTTTGAATATGAATAGATACCAGTATCTAGCGGTGACAGTCGAATACATACTGCACTAAAGTAGCGGAACCAGTTTGCGGCTAGGTCCATTGAACTACTTGTAACAAGCAAAAATAGATGAGGCTACCATGATCCTTCATTGCCCACCAACGGGTTGGAAATCGCAAGAAGGCGGATCCGTCCGGTAGGAGTTTGCGGGTGGGAACGGCAGCAGCAGCGGCAGCGCGCTGAGGAAATGGGCTGTGGTTCAGACCTGACCGCAGAGGCAGTGCATGAATGATGTCGTCGTCGAAAGTGCAGGGTGACGTGCGCACTTGGACGCGGACACTCAGACGGTGACTGGGTGACAGAGGTCCGAGGAATTTGACCCCAGGGAGGTGATTTGGACCATGCAGACTTTCCACTGGCGATTTGGACGACGAAAGCGAGGCAAGGGGTCGGCCAGCCCCGTGCGCATACAAGGGAAGGGGTCCTTATGAAGACGCTGGACGCTGGACGCTACGACTCGTTTTTCGTCCCCCGATTGTAATTGGCTCAAGAGCCTCAAGAGCTGCTTTCGAGGCATGTGCGAAACATGCTGCAAAGGTTGCAGTGGTCGGTGACCGTCTACAATTGCAACTTACATTCACACCATTAAATCGGAGCGATACCAGACTGTTGTCTTTCACTGGTCACCACGATGCAACATTCAAAACAGCGAGACCTAAGGTGAATCTACAATCCAGCAGCGGATTCTATTTATCTTCCCCTCATTTCTCGTCCCCTGCCTACAAGAACTTCACGTACTACTACCTCTACTACTCGTGAATCACTGTGTACTACATCCATGTCCTTGTTTGGCATATTAGCTGCCCCATTCGGTCCACTCCTATCCTTGTCGCAGGACCGCTCTCACCCAGCTCACCAGGAGACGGGTTTTGCCTCCTTCCTGCCCTCCCGTGGGTCCCATGCGCCTCAGCCCACTGAAACAATCTAATTTACAACGTTCGAGCACGGGAATACCACGTCGGAAGTCTAATCAAACCTTATACCAAGTCATATGCCTGAGTCGGAGCTGGACTTCGGAGCCTTTTCGCCTCTATTCTGGAGTCCTGCATGTACTGTAGTTGGATCAATGGTGACCGTCAGCACCATGGGAAATCTAATCAGACTTGACACTCCGCTCATATGCATGAGTGGGTTTATCTGGTCTGTGACGTTTTGCAGCCATGCTCCCGGTCTGCCAGGTTCACAATCAGCTCCGGATCCTCTCAGATCAGGTCACAGTGATTTTTGCAATTTGTCTAGACTGGACACCGCATTGCTTGAGAGTTTCTGATCATGGGACGACGAACGAGGGCTAGTCGTAACCTGAAGACTAAGAAAACTGTTCGTCATCAAGGTCCATTATTTGCGGCTTCTTCACCCTCCGACTTACTGTACTCTCCTGAGTCCAACTTGCCAATATTTTTGTGTCATGTTGAGCATTATACGGCAACTGGTTGTGGTCTTGGCTGTAGTGGCCCATCAAGTAGCCCTCTGTTGGTCGCTAAGTACCTGAGCAAACCTATCCCAGCAAACCTTATTCACAATTATGTAGCAGAATGTAAACGTTTAGTGACATCCTTGTGATTGTTTAAAGGACTTGAACCTAAGACACTCCCCTTAGGGCTAAGAGCTCACCATCGCAAAAGTGGTTTCATGTAGAGGAACTCCTCAGTATCTCTATCTAGGTCACATATATTTACGGCATTAAATTACCGATGTGTCTTATGTAGAAATGAAGGTGATCACATCGTCTGGTTAAATCTTGGAGACTCATTCTGTCTTCGGGTCTTTGAACATTTCTATTGAGCACGCTTGTAACTCCAGTTACTTCTCAATCTTAGGTTTATTTTTTTTGCCGCCCGCGCCTTTTTTTTAACAACACTCTGAGACGTTGGCTTGCAAATGTTAAATTTAAAGTCTTATTTGGAGGGTGAGCACTGGATCGGTGACCGTGGTCCACCATAAATTATTACAGAACATCTGAAGTGAAGGTAGAATCGTAAAGATAATGAGGAAGACAACCTTCTAATCTGTTTTTTAAAGCCAAATATGTTATGTAAAAAGGAATTCACTGCAGTCTTTTTAAGTATGTCTGATAGTTTCAGTCAGTATATCCGACAAGGTTCTTCTTCACATGGTCTCCAAGTGCTATTCCTGAAAATCGTCATGGTTTACAAAGTTTCGGCGTCAAGTTTCAGAACCCAAGTGTGGCTGGATAAGCGAGCTGAGTCACAAAGTGATCTGATGCCCCATCTAACTTCAGGACAGGCCAATTGCCATTTAAGCAGCAGCACATTTGAAGCACAGGGATGTGCTTGAACTTTACAACATAATTACTACTGCAGCTTTATAAAGAGTCATCGCGGTGAGAAAGGGATCAGAGAGCTGAGATGTCATCGATCCACAAACAAGTTCTTTATCTTGAATTCTCTCGCTTGACTTTGTGTTGTAGCTAGGATTAGTGAGCGATATTAACCTGTCGGCTGCAGACTCATGTGGTTGATGTGGGCCACTGGAGATCCAAATCCTCCCTAATTGATGCAAAGGAAGACCGTTTGCCATCATCTCAATGGCACCTATCGTATGTGTAGATGGATTGCTGGGTCCAATTGACTCCAGTTTCAGGTGGGGGCAAACCATCTGACCGGATCCAACTGCATTGTCGAAGGCTCTTGCTCACATGGGCCAGGGTAAAACTTGGAGCTGGGTTCAGATCGATCAACTCACGTACTTTTTCGTGGAGGATAAATGGGCCCTCCTGGAACACCCATGTTACTACTGTAATGAGCTTATGGTAGACAATCCAGACCTGCTAAAAAGTGCAAATGCTTGTGTCTCTACCCTGAAATGACTCCCACTTCCATGGTGTGAAGACTGTAGCCCAATTTATTACCATGTTAACAGCCTGCAAACTCGTGCAGAGGATCACCGTTGTGGCATTGCGAAACGGTGGAACACTGGGACTTACTTTTCAAACCGGAGCATAGAGGATGATACAGGAAGATTTGCAGATACGATATCCAGTCATTTGCCTGAGTAGAAGCAGCGGCAAGTCTAAAACCAGCAGTCTGATTGACTATCCATGTTCTGAAGTCCACGAAAATCGCCACCCTCGATGTCGGGGACTGTGTCTTGGGATCGCTGTTTGACAACAGCGTAGAATGTCATAATATGGAAACAAGTCGTCTATCTCTCTATGAACTGAAGCTATGGGAGAGTTACTAATCCGCCTGGAACTTTCCACTTGTGCAATGGGAAAACTCTCGAGTACACGGAATAGGGTTTCTATCCACTAAACCTGGGCACCGCCCAAGAACCGTAGCGTTGGAGCGATTCATCATCAAAGCGTGATACTTGTACAGTTTTCATTGCTCGTGCTTTTCCAATGCCATGTCGTCAATTGCACTTGGAGTAATTAGTTACATTATAGCTACTGTAAGATACGTCCCAGAGAAAAGGACGCTTGATAGAGCGTGGAGATGTGAAAAAGAAAGCCTTTGACTTAAGTCTCATCGTTGACATTTTCTAGAACTCACGAGATGAAGGTGAGCAGTCCCTTCTCATTTAGGTCTTTAAAAACACCTTCTGAAGGTTTAGGCTTATGATATCAACAAGTTAGAAGACAATATATCGACGCCTTGTAGGGCACTTGGACATATAATTTCAATAGTTTTTGCAGGCCCATTCGATATACAGTACAAGCAGAGAATACGTGTAATTTAATTTAATAAGACAAAGAAATAGTTTCAAATAAGCATTATGGATTGGAGAATGGTTCCGAGATCTTATTTCAGAATAATATCCTTCATCATTTCTAGTCATTCAATTTATTTCCTGTACAGATAAAACGAGGGAAGACCACGTCTTGTTCAAATTTTCACAACTGGGTCTTGTTTTAAAGCATTCATGATCAAATAAATGTTTTCTTATTTTGTTGAAAAAAGAAACGCCTTACCTTGGTTATACATGGTAAATTTAGGCTATCCTACTTCGAAATCACCACGACTCAAATGTAAGAATAAAATTGAAATCAATGTACAGAATTTCCCTTAACATCGTACATTCACATACCTTGAATGTATATTTCAACTTCCCCAAGATGACGATTTGGGGTTGCCAAACATGCTGGTGATGATGTTATTCAGCAAAAAATATAATAGATCAAAGTGACAGGAAAGACCCCAGTTCATATAGAAAAAAGGATTGAGATACGCATCAAATCAAACTGTAAACGGATGAAACCCAAAGATGAAATGGTAACAAATAAAAAATGAAACATAAGATGGGGAGACCCCATGAAATTCTGCATGGATGATACCCAAAGGATGAAAGGGAAACCAAGTAATATAGCGAAGTGAATGGTAGATCCATCAACCAGTACATGGATGAAACCAAAGGTGATAAGAGGCGTGTGTCGAATGTGAGTCGATCGTGCTGCATCGTGTGAAAGTGAAATGCATTCCGCGTAGATGCCTTCATTTGACATGTGTCTCTGGTTGTCTTTGCCTATCACAACGGACGCAATCCATCTCTAATGCTCGTTCGGACTCGTTCGGCTTGGCAGATACGGAATCATTCTGATCAGACAAACAAAAATCCCCCAAGATCGAGAACAAATAGATGCAGTTTTGGCACTAGATCTCTTAACATTCTCTATACGTGATTGCACTTCAACCCCTAAGAAGCAATCCATCTTTGTGTATTTTTCATAGAAAACTTCTTGGCGGATCCAAAAACTTCCAATTTTGAGATTCATTCCTGCTTGTCAGCTTGCAGAGACACTATTACTGCAAGGACGATGCACTTGTAAAAAATATATTTTGGGGGGGGGGGGGGGGGGGGGGGGTCAAACCGGATGCTTGTCCACTTCATTTGGGATTGTGTATCCAAAAATGTGAAGTGTGACAAACTTAACAGAAAGAGTTGCTCGGGGCTTTGAGAACTTCATTGAGGGCACGATTATTCAGAAACGCTCTGGAAAACACGGTGCTTTGTTTATTTGAATGCACATGTATGATAAATTTCTTGATATCGAGGAACTCTCCATGGCTCCTACTGTAGCTGGACATACGTTGAAATTTGGGAGATCAAAAACATATCTCATTGAACTTCCTCCCATAATCGACAAAGCCCGCAGTTGAGCGATTGCAACGGATCGCAGTTTTTACCATACATCCAAAGCACAGTAGTCGCTAGATTCCTTACGAAAAGTAGAGCTTTCGCAAGTGCTTGTTCCACGAAATTCTCATCGTAAAGAGCGTTGGCAAGCGATGGAAAATCACGACATAGGCCTCAAGCGTTTTGACCTAGAACATTGTTGACAAATATCGCCGGTCTTCGGCGCGTAAATCTCTCGTGCTCCTCATGCGAAACTAGTGAAAGCAACAAACATCACCTGCTCGAGAATTTCATGTAGACCAACCGCATCAGCTTTTTCTAGGCCGGTACTTCGGTGCGAAAGGCTAATCTCCGCTTCCCGTCTACACGGCGTCATAAACCCCCTACGCTCTCCTAGGGACAAACTGGCTCGTAAAGCTCGCCCGCCCGCCCTCCCGTGGCGACCTCCGAGGTTGGAAGCCTCCCAGAGCACATCCCGAACCTACTCACGAAGCTGACCGAGGTGCTTTGCTGATGACGGCGGACGAAACCCTAATGAAGAACTCGATTACTGCGCCGTGCGCAGAGCCCTCGACGTCTACGGAGTCGTCGTTCGCATGTCGCCGAACATGATACACGTACGGCGCAGTCATGACAGCGCACCCATCCACGCACCCTGCCCAGATGATGCGCAGATGTGGTCGAATGAACCGAGATCCACCTCGACTGGGTCTAGACGAAGTTGCAAATGCAGATTTTCCTTGCATTCGATCCGGTGTAAGGACTTCGACCAAACGTTAACGCTGCAAAATCGGAGAATAAATAAATATATAAATAATTAAATCGGTCCCCGCCGTGTTCGCTTTTGGACATTTTGTTCGCGCCCATTGCGGGCTAGCGCTCGACCGGTGACGGAATTAACGCCTCGGATGATATGTAATTAAATATTGGCCTACGGGAGTATAGCAGAGCACGAGCAGGTGGGCGACAGTAGTCGCAGTAGAGTGAGACAGGCCGATCACGAGTGCGAAGTCAATGGCGGGGGGCGGGCGCAGTAATAACTCGATGCGGTTGGCTGGGTAAGAAATCGCGAATCCGCGAACGTCGTGGTAGGTTCCGGAGAAAGAGTGAGCGGGGAAAGAGAGGAGCGCCTGTAAGTTACGGGGCCGGGCTGTGAGATAGATACGACGCAAAGATCCGGGAATAGCTAGCGACTGTTCACCGGAAGTCTATCCGAAAGCTGGATGGACCTGGAAAATGTCGAACGCAGTAGCATAAGGCGAAAGCATATACCGCGGATTCGTAGCCAAAATGGCATCCAACTGTGCAGAAGGGTTCGGGGAAACTGTCCAGGCGAGCGGGCTAATGGAGCTATGGGGCCTATGCGGCATGGTGGATAAGGGGGGGATGGGGGGGGGGGCGGGGGGCGTCCAGAAAGGTACCGACCGCATAAGGTAAAGGCCGTGCGCTAACTTTTAAGAAGTTCTTGACACGAGCGGAAGGCGACGGATGACGCATTCATTGTCAGTGATGTCGGTCGTTCGTTCGTTCGTTCATACCATACATACCATACGGAAATACAGACATACATACATCGGGGAGGCGGAGGACGACGTAGACGCATACGTGCGTTCGTGAAGCGAGGGTGCGGGAGGGGGCGGGGTTTGCGAAAGTGCGGCACTGGGAGAGCGAAGGGAAGGGAAGGGAAGGGAAGGGAAGGCAAGGCAAGGCAAGGGGAGGCAGCAGGAGAAAAGCGAGAGGGCGAGAGGGGCAGAGGCAGGGAGAGAGGGAGAGAGGGAGAGGGAGAGGGAGGAAGAAGAGCGAGGATGATGAGATAGACGGGCGAAGTGCAGCCTAATCGCACGTTTTGCTGGTGTCATAGAGCTTTTCCCTCAAAGTTCTTGTCCTGTCTTCTGTAGTAGAGCGGAGCGGAGATAGAAGCTTGCTGCCGCCTGGTTGGCTGGTTGTCTGTCTCGTGTTGCTTCGACGACGCTACCGCCGTTCGCTGTTGAGAGATTGTGAGAGCAAGAGAGCATTAGCATTAGAGAGAGAGAGAGGAACACGGAGACAGACAGCAAGGGGAGGGGAGAAGAGACCGAAGAAGCGGGGAGGAGGGCAGTGGGAGAAAGTTTCGAGAGTTAATAGCGCACACGGGTGTGGAGAGGGCGAGAGTTATTGAGAAGGAGAGGCAGAGGGCAGGACGTTCAGGCACACCGGGTGGCGCTCCTGCGATACAACTTGTGTGGTTGGCAACTGGTTGTGGATTGGTGAGCGGTAGGCAGGCAGGCAGGCGAGCATTGAGAGTGGGTGAACAAATCGGAGTGGGGGCGTCCATGAAATTGGTGAGGTGCGGAGTGAGGGACCGTGCGTGAGTGCAGGTGTCGTTCTTTCCTCGTGAAGGCAGTCGCGGAGGGCAATTGTATGTTTTGGTGCTGACGGGTCGTGCTGGTGTGCCGAGAAGAAGCCCTTGGGAGAGGTTTGAATGCTTGGAATCAGAGGACAGGAGGAGAGAGAGCGAAGACGACGAAGGACGAAGTGGCGTGAAGGCGGTGGAATTTATTTGAGGTCGCCCGAGGAGGCGCGTGTTGGGTGCGGTGGCTGTTGCTAAGATTTTGAGGTTTTGAGTCGGCTGTCGGCGAGGTGGACATAGACGGAGTGGTAGATGCTGAGATTTTGAAGGAAGCGTCACTCAGAGACTTGTCGCTCTACCTGCGATAGAGGCGATTTGTGCATCAATCTGTTCAAGAGAAGGAAGACGCAATTTGTTTGACTCTGTTCCGACAGGATTCGAGGATTTCATGATTTCGCAAACTGAGTTGAATGGCTGCAGGACGGGATCTGATTACATGGACACAAGCATGAGTAATGGCGGGAATGGTCTGGATTCGCAGAGTCCCTGGCCTCCTATCATCGGTGCCAGTCCGGCACTTCCGTCCACCAGAACGGGCAGCCGGGCGAAATCAGCTCCTTTCTCGAAGAAGCTTCTCAATTTATCAGCTCAGTTCCGGCGCTCGCTCAGTAACATGGGCAGTAGCCGGAACCTTTTTGAGAATGGGAAGAAATATCGGACAACTAGCTCGTTGAGCCAGGACCCAACCGGGGAGGAAAAGGTGATGCAAGTTACCGAGAGGGTCCGAGGTTACGGTTACTCAGAGGAGATTTGCCATGAGCTTCGCAACCATTTCGCTAGATTACCATTGCGGTGAGTGAGAAGCGTGCTCATTCTTACATCACCCGTGACACAGACTACTGCTTTTCACCCTCCGGCGCTTCATGATCCCCACAACTTTCCTGCTGGCGTCTGAAACCTTTACCTTGTCTTGCTGGACGTTGCGCCAGAGCTCTTCTTAATTCTCGTTTAGGCGGTGCAGTTTGCACTATACCTTGGTTTTTGCCATCTACGTCACCTAATTTTACCTGCACAGTGGCCTACCCAGTTGTGTATTGAATGCTCTATGGAAGTCGTCTGTACATGTCAGGCGGATGAGAAGCTTCATGAGTGTCGATGACTGAGTTACTGTACCTTCTTCTTCGTGCACGAGTATTGATCAGTAATGAGTCTTTCAGGTGAAAGACTGAGAGCTCCTCTAGTGAGTGGTCTTAGCAGGTTTTGTTCACCCCAAGTTCGTCACTCAAGCTTGGAGGAGAATCTTTTTGCTGCATGTTTCTTTCATCTTTTGACCGGTTGGTTGCTGTCTCGGTTTGCACATTCGTTAGTCCCTTGTTTGACTACGCCATCGTTGAGCATGTCAATCCCGATCAGGCGAGGCCTGTCTTCTCCTACACCGCTTTTTCAGAGAGTGGGATTTGTATGTTGAATTCGGAGGACGTACTCTATAGGCGTATTTACCTTAGGCTGGAATGAACTTCGTATTCAGAAATTACGAGTGATTCATTGGGATCTGAGTCACTCAATTTCGAACGTCAGCATTGATATGTCGATGCTAGTTTTAGATTGAATTCTTTGGCCTATGTTAGCTTTTGTTTGACTGACCAACAAATTTTTATCTGAGTTCTGTGTGGTTTTTAATTTCAGGTATACGTTGAACATCGATGCCCAAAGGCACGAAGATGTCCTACTACACATGAATCTGCTTCGGGAGGCCTGGAAGGTTGAAGCAGCAGTTAGAAATAATCCTACTGGTTCATATCCTCTTCCACAAGTACACGTTCGCAAGGTTCAGTTAATTTCTGGAGTCTCCTGGTTTGACACAGGTGACTTCACAAATGGCGGGGAAAGCGTGTCAAAAGCGGTACCCATTCCCAGGATTCCCAAGCCTGCGTTTGGATCTAACACCAATCTTGCAGGCTTGATGGTTGGTGGTAGCCCTAGAGTTCATCCATCATCTGGACATTCAAAATCTCAGTCGACTCCTCCTTCTTTGAAGACGCTAACGTCTCCATCTGTGCCTGAAGTGATTCCTCGCCCGACGTTTGGGTCCTTCGTAAACCCCTTAGATATGGAGGAAGATAGTGACCAGGAGGACTCGTATGGTTGGGAGATAACTCTGGCCACATCAGATAGGCGTGGCCTTCTCAAAATATTTACAAATGCGCTCAGTACCCTTTCTCTTGATTTAAATATCAAGGTGAGTCAGTACACAAACTCTTCATTTTTCTAGTGGAGTTCATTTGATTGACTTGTAATACCACATTGCATAGTGCAGATCACTTTGTCATACTGCCATTTCTGATGTTCTATCGCAATCTTACAGGAAGCCCATGTTTTCAGTACTAATGATGGAATGGCCCTTGAGGTTTTTGTCATCGAAGGATGGTCGGGTGATGAGGTAACTTCTAGCTACACGGAATTTGATACACTTGGTGTTTTAAATTTGTTACTTGTTACCCATTATGAAGAAGAAGTCCATTGACCTATAGATTTTTGTCAACATTTTTATGATACAGAAGTTCGTTTTTTTCGACCGCTTCCGCTTTTAGAAGAGAAAAAGGGTATAGGGCAATCTTGAAACAATGTTGGAAACCGAAAGTCCACCTCTCCGTGTTCATTTTATGTTGGACGGCTATGCACGCGATGTGGAGCTGTACCCCATGAGAGCCACGCCTGTCTCGATTGTCAAGCTAGTACATGATTATCTTTTTTCAGCCTGTGTCGGGTGTAAAATATTTGTTTGTCATTTGTATCCTTTTGAAAGTGTTTTGAAAACTGGTGGGGTTTGTCGTGTTTACTTCAGCCTGAAGATCTCAAAATCGCCGTGCTTGAAGCTTTGAACAAGCAACTCAGCACGTCCTTGCAAAGAGGACCAAGTAGTGACATGGAGTTGAAAAACGCGGTCGAAGCACTTGCTTACGAAGATTGGACTGTTGACTTTCATAACGTAAGTGTCGTAACAACTCAAAGACCTCTCTGTGAACGTATCTTTCACTGAGTGGAAGACGTTTGATTGTTTGTTACTGACATTGGTGTTGACGTTAGAACGTTTACATAATTTTGCATGTGTCTCTAGCGTCGAATGGTGTAACGGAGAAACTGGTGTAGCGTTCGAAGAAACTGTGTCTGGGCAGATCCCGAATGCCCGCTGATTCTGGTTCATTACTGATCAGTACACTGATCCGACGTTCGTTGCCATTTGCAGCTTGTAATTGGTGAAAGGCTTGGGGGTGGTTCATCTGGTCGTCTGTACAGAGGACAGTACTTGAGCCAAGATGTAGCTATTAAAATTATCGAACTTAACGAACTTAACGTGGAGAATGAGTCAGGGACACTTCGCTCTGTTCCTGCTGTGGAACTACTACAAATGTTCAAGCAAGAGGTTTCAATAATGAGGTCAGCAGTTTTCAATGTCCCTGGACGGTTACATGGCCAGTCTCTTCTCACCACAATGCCTGAAGTTCAGTAGCTGTGTACCAAGGTTCTGTCTATCGGTGTCTTAAATTTATAACATCTTACACCTGCTTAATGTTGAGGTCAGCATGTTTTCCAAATTTACTGGTCGTCTACTGGCCAGGCTTACCTCACCTCAATGCCTGAAGTCTAGGAATTTTAGCAAATTGTCCTGAGTACCACAAAGCTCTGTTTATCTCCGTTCTAAGTTTAGAACGTCTTATATTTGCTGAAAGCTCTACTTCATCGTGTTCCACCTTGTTGAGAGTCCATGTTTATCTGGTGAAGGGCGAATTTCCTAAACACACCGTTTCTTTTTGCAGACTTGTACGTCACAAAAATCTAGTGCAATTCATCGGAGCGTGTTCCTGTTGGCCTAAACTTTGTATTGTCACTGAGCTCATGGCTGGCGGGAGGTAACATCATGCACCTTCACCTGGAACATTATATACAACTGCCTGTAAACCACTGCGCTTGATGAGTGACAGGTCGAACGTGGTGGGAGGGTTTGCATCTCGGAAGTCATACGTTTCTGCATCACGTTGACTTTAAATTTACCTCAAATATTCTGTTTAGTGCGAATTGTTCTTACGTGCTTGTGTTTTTGTGAGTAAGTTCTATCCTTGTAATAAGCACATGTACCAGGATCGCTGCGAGTATGAACGTTTTTCCTCTAATAGACAGTGCGTTGTTTTATTGATTATGTTTGACGAATGAAATTATTATGTAACGGAATTGTTTGCAAATTCTAACGTGGTCATGGAATTGTGGACAGCGTTCGTGACGTAATGCAGAGTAGAGGAGGTGGATTAGATCTACCAGCAGCTGTGAAAGTTTTGAGAGACGCTGCCCGAGGAATGGATTTTTTACATAGGTAACCTCCGTGATTGTGTCTGATTAAACAGCAGTTGCATGTGTTTCACGTGTCTGGTTTCGGCGATGATATGCACGTTTAAATGGTGGAAACGTATAACGTTGCTCCTCCTACTGCGCTTGAACAGGAGAGGAATTGTCCACCGCGATCTGAAGGCTGCAAATCTTTTAATAGACGAACACGACGTAAGTATCAAATGACGATAGTTTCTTTTGTACACATTTAACCGGGTTGTAATCTACTTACATTAGGATGGAACTGTGTTTCATTCTGTCGGCTCTTACGTGGGCCGCCAGGCATTTTTATCTTAGTGTGTAGCCAAGATCGAATTAGATCGCACTAAGTGGTTCAGAGACTTTCCCCTTTAGGACGTCGTGTTTGTGGAGCTAATCTTATTTTCGAAGCTATATATCTGTTCCTACATCTTGTTTGCTGTCCGCTCTCAGAAAGTAATTTGAGTTTGAATTTCCGTACACGCAGGTTGTTAAAGTATGTGATTTTGGAGTTGCACGAATAAAGCCAGCTGTCTCGAGCAACCACGGAGTTGGCAATTGGGCCGCCGAAATGACAGCTGAAACCGGAACTTACCGGTGGATGTCACCTGAGGTGGGACATCGGACAGTTGAAACTGATGTCTTTATTATTCTCCTTTATGTTCCATCTCGTAGACGTTTATCTCATTTTTGGTACATTTGGTATGGATTTCTGACCACTGAATTGTATGCAGGTACTCGAGCATAAACCTTATGATCACAAAGCCGATGTGTATTCATTTGGAATCATGATATGGTGAGGCTTTTGGATTCGTTACATCAATGAGCTTTGAAGTTAAAGTTTAACAATTGGCCTAATAATGTGACCGACGCGTAGTACTTACTTCTTCACTTGCTTTGATTCAACAGGGAAGTTTTGACTGGTGAAGTACCTTACGCAGGTCTTACACCATTGCAAGCCGCAATTGGTGTTGTTCAAAGGTGAGAACCGGCCCTACACGTTTATTATAGACTTGTATCAGTCTGCTGGTAGTTCATTCGATACTTTTTGCAAGTGTTAAGAGTTCGAGGATTATGCAAAGCATTTGGAGTAACCACTGGAAAGACCCTATGGTTTAGAAGTTGATGAATATGGAACTTGTTTGGTGTCTTTTGCAGGGGCTTGCGTCCAGTGATGCCTCCTTCGGTACCACCCAAGCTCGCTGGACTTGCCGAACTTTGTTGGCATCAAAATCCCGAGCAGAGGCCGGAGTTTAATGAGGTAAGGAACGGTTCTCCATGTGTAGCAACCTCAGCCTTTGACGTCGTCCTTTGGTTGGACTCGCTGTTGCTGTTATATTGTCTGGTTTTGGAAATTTTTTTAATGGATACTACAAACATAAAGTATCGCATTCTGTGAGCCTGACTACTTTTGTGTTTTTACGTGTACAGGCAGTGACTATTTTGGAGGAGCTGATGAAACCCTCATTCAAAAAAGCTCTCTTTGGCAAAATGAAGTCGTTTGGTCAAAACCATCATGTATGATAATGCCTCTCTACACCACCAAAACTCTTCAACTCATAAGAAGTCCTTGGAAGCCCTGTTTCAATTTGGGATTCCTCAGGTTTTGTAAAGATATTTTATCTAGATTACAGTTGTCCAAAATGTTGTGTTTCTCGTTGTGATAGCGAAGGGCTGGAAGAGTCGAGATAACTAAAAGATAAGGTCCCTTAAAGTTTCCCATCTCCATTAATAGGTCATACGTCCGAGTGTTGAAAGAGCACTTTGGTCATCAAAGGAATTTTTGAGCCTGGATAGGTTAGCCAGTGATCGCGCGGCCTTAGGTGTCCTTTCCTTTTCAGGTTAGATAGATTCGAGTCGTAGTCGGATGGGCTGGTTTTGTAAGTTACATTTTTCCCAGCATACTATGCTTATTGTATCAATACGAGGATATTCAAAGGTTATTCAAGCTTTTGGCTGCTTTCGACAATTGAAGTCTGTAGATCAACAGGAGGTGTGGACATCCAAAAGTAATGCTTGTAAAGGAGGAAGAAGAAGAACGTGCATTAATGTTATCAGACACTTGACTCTAGGCGGTAGGTAGTTAACCCGTATTTAGATTTTCTGAACTGAAATGGACTTTGATTCTGGCCCGGAAGAGACCCGCGCTTGCGACTAGTTTTTTAACAGCTTACAAGTTGAGAAAAGTGTTTGTGCTGAGGAAGTGAGACGTTTCTCGGTTGTATGTTAACTGGTTGTTAAACTCCAGGACCAACATTGGAGTATGTCGGAAGATGAAGCTGAAGGTAATTCTGAGGTCTACTACCACGTCTAGAGACCAACCCCCTTGAACCAGCCTTGTACAAGCTGCAGCCTATTTATTCAGTTTTTTCTCAGTCGGCCAGTCTGTCTCGTCTGAAAGAAAGCCACGTTCTCTACTGTTGCCGATTATCTTTAGGCGTTCCCTATTATTCACAAATGTATACTATGTTAGTTTGTCTTCACTCCGGAATATTCAACAGATTAGTCCTTCACTTGTATATTAGACAGTTTTGTTTATACTTTGAGAATGTAACATATTAGGTCATTTATAGCTACTTAGCGGCAGTTGGTACCTTACTGTATACATGCTCAATTGTCAACAGGATGGTACTTGTGGGAAAATGGTCCATTCAATTGTGAATTTTGGTGGGGGAGGTTATCTGCATGTTTTTGAGCTTCTATTGGAGATCACATCAGGAATGTGAGTGCTGGGATGACTTCTTCGTAGTGGTGTATCTTGTTCACATATTCAGGCGGTGTCTACTGAGTAGGTCAGGTTCCCTCGCCAGGGCAAATAGTAAGCAGAGTGGATTCTGTGTGCTTTGGACTATACCAACGTATTTATGGCTGAGTAAAGGAAGTGTATGTAAGATGTGCTAAGTAGATCAAATGAGCAGAACGTAGAGCAGATGTTTAATGCACACGGATTGGAGAAAAGAGCAATTCACCCTCTGTAACGATTGTAGTATTGAGCGAGCTCGTCAGGCCTGTTGGAGAAGTAGTCTCTGGAGAGTAGCTAGGACCTACTTTTAAATCTGTTTCGTCTCCTCTGCAGGGTATGTTAGAGGCTTAGTTCCTCTGTAATATTCCATGTATATTATCTGAGTACATCACCTGGTCAACCTTTACGATGTAGGAAAAGGATTCCACCTCACACATGTGTCCCACTTCCATCCAGGCTTACGGAATCTTAGGTGTTTCTATCTTGTCTTCTGAATCAGTTTTCTGTGTTTTAATAGCCTTCAAGCTATGCCGTTTAACAGCCTTTTCTTTTTCCGTACCGAAAGGCAACTACCATTGCTTTAGAAGGTAGAAGCTTGCCTTCTATATTGTATTCAGCCATGCGTCAAATATCGTGTAGGTTACGAAGATTTGCTGCATCAATGGAACTGTACACTGGTCTCCTAGAACTTGTTTATTTGTTATTGTGGTGATTAGAGAGGCACGACGTAAGAAGAGACTTTGCTATGTGCACCAAGCGAGATCTTCCGTACACAACACCTGGAACCATCCGGATACAAATACGGTCTTTGCAGCCGGATGGTTCCTGGTAGCTTTTAGCGACAGGTATCTGAACACAAACTTTCTTAAGACGAGTTAACAAAGGCAGTGGGAGGAAATCCTGTTGTGATTGTGCGAGTGGGAGAATGTGACAAGTCTCGTATTCTTAATATCACTACAGCCTTGTGAGTAGTACACAGCTGTCTAACGGGCTATACTGCAGCGGCGAGCTTTCCAACGATCCTTTGTACAAATTAAGAACAGTGGTGTTTAGGTTGTGGGAACGACTGGAATGCGGATTTTATTCGAAAGCTTCTACTCCAAACATCTACAGTGCCTTACAACGTTGCAACAAATCAGCTGTGCGAGTCATGTGAGCTGAAAACTTCTGTGTATACGAAAGAAAGCTTGCGGAGTCATCAATTCGGTGTAAACATGTGGAATCATACTTGTGCTTTACGTCAGTAAAATCCTACAGGCAAAACTTCGCAGCAAAGAACCTAATCTTCATTAGTATGAAGTGGTACGAACGTATAGCCCAATAGTGAATGGCGTTGTATAAAAATATTCTAATTTTAATGGACGAAATTTTAATCCTCTCCTTATTCTAGATGTGTTTGTACTCGCAACAAATATCCAATTGAAACTGACGAAATTTTTACTCTCTTCTCCCGTTCTAGACGTGTTCATACATAACGATGATTCAGTGGTAGAAGAAAATCACAGCAAAATAAAGCAATAATTTGAGGAAGAACTTTTGTATAGTTGGTTCAATTTAAATCCAATAAATTACTGTAGAACTTGTAGAAGATATATGAAAACAGCTCTTTAGAGAAATGCATCAGAAGATTATCATTGGAACTACATAAAGATTATTAAAATTACTGTGCGGCACGTTATTACCTTTGACGTGACATTGAAGGTAAATCATACATGTACGATTGACATTCAATGTCAATTTGAAGTTGAATCATACTTCAAAGTTGTTGACAAGTATTTTGATTAAATTTTTTGGGAACGACTAATTATCATTCACTTAGGGCAAATTAGTCCTCACTCTATTCCAGGCACTTGATTCCAGGCACTTGGGTAGGTGCAAGGTTATAGATTCCTGGGATGAGTAGTGAGTGCTAATTAGCTTAAGTGAGGTATAACTAGTCATATGGTTGTTAAAATGAAGATGCTTTTACAGAAATGATATATGCAAATATCACAAGAGACTGAATCGAATAAGAGAAGTGAAGATTCAACAATCATATTCATTTCTTGCGATTTTTTGCAAGAGTTTCAACAACACGACTGCTCAATGCGACAATGTTGAGGTGAAATATTTGAACCAAATTTGGATGTTAATGAAGATTTTGGAAGAGTGTAAGGTGTTGTCATTGCTTGGATGTAATCTAGGATTTTTGAGTTGAGCTGATTAGAATAATTGATGCGTTTGTAATTGATACGCAATTCTTTCTTCTCTTTCTGCATAAATTCATTTGACAAATAAATTTGTGTCGATTAAATAATTCGTATACTACATATTCTAACATATTCATTTGACCGTCAAATGAATTTGTGCAAAAAGAGAAGAAAGAATTGCGCAACTAACTCTAGTTACATATATACATTCTAAATAAAATTTGCTCATGTTTTACAAAATAAAGACTGCGGCTGGTGTCATCTTCATTATTATTTTAGTGCTCATTACCTTGTTGAGACCGTAGGTCTTGCTTGGAATATTTTACAGGAAAATTAAGCGGCAAGAGAAGGAAATATATTGATGTCTCTGCAAAGATAACGCTCATCGAAGTTCGATCAAGTTTCATAACTGCAATGCGAATCTCCCGAAACTGTAAATATATCTCATTGCCTGACTGAAGTTCGCTTGCAAGTAGTTCGAGGGTCTTGTAATGAGATCAAGAGAGTGTGCGTGCACAAGGTACATTTCATATGAGTACATTTCACGATGACATTTCCAACTCAGTAGGCCGTGAAGTATTTACGAAAAACAACACCCGCTGATGTGATGTGGAACCTTTAATTTATGTGTAAGACGAATGAAGAAGATACGTCCATTTCGTTGTATGCGCTGTATACTACAAACAGCTACTAGATATAATCCACCTGAGTCGGAGCTTGAAACTTAAATGTAGAAGAAGGATATTCGGTACAGTAACTCATCACCAAAGCATAAATAATGTTGTCGCTGAGAGGTTAAATGTTGTTCACATACGTTCATTTATAATATGAAATATATATGTCTTGATAAATTCAGCTGCCCGAAGAATGCATATCAACAATGTCGTCATCTTCCCACTTGTTGCAAACGCATCAATTACTCTAATCAACTCAACTCAAAAATCTTAGATTACATCCAAGCAATGACAACACCTTACACTCTTCCAAAATTTTCATTAACATCCAAATTTGGTTCAAATATTTCACCTCAACTTTTTCACATTGAGCAGTCGTGTTGTTGAAATTCTTGCAAAAAATTTCAAGAAATAAATATGATTATTGAATCTTCACTTCTCTTATTCAATTCAGTCTCTTGTGATATTTGCATATATCATTTCTATAAAAGTATTTTAATTTTAACATAATGCTCATCACATAACTCCTTTTAGGTTGATGAGACTTCCGGAGAGAAATTTTTTATCAAAGTTGCAAGAGTAAAGGAATTTGTGGATCATATTCAAAGAGTACTATATCAAGCCAATAATAAATTGCTAATAAGTTGAAATAGAAAAAAAAACAGCATGTAAATAGTTATCGTAGAGAGTTGATTTTTCAGATAGGATATCATATTTGATAATCTACAAAAAATTATTTTTTTGTAGTAATATCAAAATTTAATTGTAGGTTCATTGATATTATTTTGTTTTGAAAGTTTTTTGCGAAGTGTCATAGAAGTTGTAATTTCTGTTGCATATGAAAATACATTTGGTATTTCATGTGTCACAATTGCAAAAACATGTATCACAACCAAAACCATTCATCAACCAACATCACCTACTCCACTGATCTTGATAGTTTTCCCTCAAATTCCTCGTGATAGTTTATCACAAGGAATTTGAGGGAAAAAAGATACTAAAGAAATAATTTTTTGATCATAAATACTCCAAAACAAAGTGTTTGACTCAATAAAAATGATATCTATCTATCATTTAAATCAACTTGAAAACCAATTAGAGATTTAGCTAATGCATCATTGATATTTTAGGAATTTGATTGAATGTGCAACAATGATGTTGTGTTTTAAAATGAGGAAAATTTGTAACCATATCGATTTAGTTAAAACTAAAGTAGAGGTTACTTAAATTGAAAATATAGTTACATCTATAGTCGATGCGTCAGTGATTTGTGTGTCTAATAGGTAGACATGAGTGTGTTAATAAACAACCATACGTGAACAATCCGTCTGTTTGTTAGATAAGTAATTGAGTGTGTTAGTTGGGTACGACATGTGAGCAATTCTTGTGCTTAAGTAACAACAGGGTTTAGAGAAAAGTTCACTCAAAGATGAAAACATAAACTCTGAAGATAAAAGATACCAACAAATGTTCTACTCTTCATTATATAACTTTTACCAACAAGTACAAAGAGATAAGATTTCATCCCCACCATCCATTTGACTCTTAGTGGATATATGACGTGGCGGATAATCCTAAGAAGCACACAGATTTTTGACGTGTATCTCCCAACTAAAATAGTACCTAACACATCCAATTGTACAGACGTATCACGTAGGTAACGTTGTCAACTAACACATTTATCCTCTATTTGCCAAGCATGCGGATCGTTGACGTGGCAACTATGACTAGTGCATGCTAAAGTAACTATATCAACATCTTTAGTAATCTCTACTCTATTTCTAACTAACTAAAGATGATTACAAACATTCATCTTTTTAAAACACAACGTACTTGTTACACATCCGTTCAAATTCTTAAACTATCAACGGTGCATTAGCTAGATTTTTAGCTGATTTTGAGAGTGATTTGTATGATGGAGATACTTTGGGTTGAATCAAATACTCAACTTTGGAATATTTATGGCCTCAAATTCATTTTTTTATTATCTTTTTTATCTCAAACTTTTAATCAACTATCAAGATTGATAAATGTGTGCTTTATTAGTTTGACATTTTAGAGCTCAAATAATATTTGATTTCTTTAGTAGTGAATTTTAACCTTTCTATAGCCTAATGTTTAATTGATATTATTGGAAATATATAGATGTCATAAATTTTTTATTACAATCTAATAGATTGTCTAAAGTATTTGATGATTATCTCATAATATTTTAAATATGAACAAGATTAATAGGTATATTATAAATTCAAGGAAAGTGCATTGAGAAATTATGAATAAAATGAAAGTTAACTCAACAGTACAAAAGATTCTGATATTCTAGATAATGATTTACCAGACAAGGCCAAATCACTTTTAGTTTACGTTGATACTAATAATATACTTGATGCTCACTATAATCAAAATCTAAATGATATAAAATCTACCACTTAATATGTCTTTATACTTGATGATGTATGCATAAGGCGGAGATTTACTTTGCAAATGTGCACAAATAAATCAATAATAAAAGAAAGAAATATAGGGGGCTGATACTTTCACTTTGCTGATTTGAAGTTTCCACCCTCACTTTCTCCCTTCCACCTTTCTACGTTTTCCATGACTGTGTGCAGCGCAGCAGTGAGAAGAGTCGCGTGCGCCGGAAGAAGTTGGCACTCCTGCAACTTGTGGAGGAATCGTAGAAGCTAGGGGTCAGGGCGAGACGTCAAGGATGAAAGTAGACGCCGGAAAAATGTAAAAAGGTGACGGGGAAATGTAGAAAGGTGTCATGAAAGGGGTAGGATGGGAAAAGCAAATCAACGGGTTGGAAAGATTAGACTCCAAAATATAATGACAAAAAACTAGCAAGAAAGTTCATCTGATCGAATAAACTTTGTACTGAAATATAATTAATCATAGACTTTTTTTAATATTTATTAAATTGAAAGTTTATTATTTTTTTCAAAAAATCAAGTGATAGATAACTAAAAAAACACATTGATATTAATTTCACTTTATGAAATATGCAATTTTTTGATTTAAAGATTGAACCAGTCAAGAGTAATATTAAATCCAATTTACTTGATCATTATCATAGTTATTCCCAAGCATATTTTCAAAAAACATAAAACTACTTTGCATAATGAACATAACTAGAATTCACTAGTAATTTTTTCTTCTCTCAATCTATATTTGTTGTATTTTGATTACATCTTAGTTCTAGTTAATTCTAGTTTACAAATGTTATTTAAAAAACTTTTACATTCATGGATCAAAAGGAAGATTTTTATAATTTAACACAATTTTTCAACTACTCTGGTTATCTTAATCATTATTAATTAAGATTCTTAGTCTATTATTAAATACAAAAGTTATAAGAAGTTCCAAAAGACTCAAAATTAAGATCTCAAAGAAAAAATCTTGTTTTCGTTACTGCAGTTTGGAATGATGAATCACATCTTTCTTTTTTTAATTGTATGTTTGAGTTTTATCTTTGTATTGAATGATCAATAACATAAAGACAATAAATATATCTTGTTGTTCTTTTCTGACAAAATTTTAGGATTTAATTTCTACCAAGTACCTCACAATTCGCACTAGGGAGCAATTTCGATGTGGATGATATTCCAACTTGCAGTTTATGGAATTCATCATCCATGTCACTAACTCAAGAATTGATTTATTATGCAGATCTTGGCTTAGATTGTGACATTAAGTTCGGCTGAGCAAAGAAAAAAATGATGAAATCTTTCCTTTATAAGGAGGTGTAGGTAAAAGCTAACGTCGAAGACATAAATTATCTCATACTCTATCAATAGGAAATTAGTAGGAATAGAGTTGAATCTCATTTGATTTAAATTTTTCTGTTGTTGGAATTCTTCGAATTATGAATCTTTGGAATGGAGATTTTACATCTGCAGCAACTTTATATATTCATAATGACATACATATTGGATTGAAAGAGCAAATTCCAGAGATTGTGGTATATCGACCAGCTTCTAAGTACTCCATACTTAACTATGTGATAAAATATGTGAATTTACTAAGATACAATTTTTCTTCACAAATCCAACATTTCGCATCTATTCTTAATTGATATCACATATTTATTTCTATCTTGTTTGGAATTTTGAATTTTTTTTTAACAAATAATTCTAAGTTTTAACTTGAAATCTTTGCCGCAAAATTAAATTTGTTTTAATTTTTTCAATCTCTGATATTGCAATTATTTTCACTTTGATCACATGACAATTCCAAGAATACAATATATTCTTATACCAAGAATCACAATGGTTCCTTGTTCTACATCAATTATAGACATGTAAATCTGATAAAAGATTCCTTATTTAATACATAAGAGATCTGGTATAATGTTAGCTGATGGAACACATCAAGATGTCCTTGTGTATTTCAATTAAAGAATTAGCACAGTAGTTTCATGATGATCTCGTAGAAAATTACATCCAACATGGTTTAGAATAAGTTGAAAATTCTCCAGAACTGAATTGATTATCAAAGTAACCAGAAATACACTTCAAGAGAGACAAGCGTGAACAAATGCATAAAAATTTCAGAGACTGAAATTTTAGGTGCGGAGGACATTGCTTCCTAACCGCACTCATAGAGTGACACATAGAAATACACGTTATAGTTATTCTCTCCGAGAGAAATTAAAGAACGATTATATGCAAGAACATCGTTCCCGAACTGCATAATACACTCCTGATTAAAATAAATGTCTTCTCTTCCTAAGAATCGCGCGAATATATATGAGTTTTCCCGATGTGTTACAGGCGCAATGTAGGACAGAAGGACAGAAAGATGTCCTCGAGATCGATTCAACCTTAGAAATCTGTGCACATGTAAAATTGTTATCATGTAGCATCGATGTAAGGTACACTTGTGGGACTTGATATCAATCACTGTAATGTCTTTAGTTAGTTTTCGTTGGTAACATAAATCCTACGGAGTTGAGTAATGAGCATGTGGGGCTGTTAGACGAGCAAAACAACCAAACAGACCATCTGGAAATTATCATGTCATTCAAATTACGGACTTCGTTTTGAGCTTACCTTTTCGAGGACTATAAGATTCTTCGTTGATTGGTTCTCAGGCCGAGACTTCTTCTGGAGTGCAGCTACTTATAAGAGGTTTGTGTCTGGACTTCCATCTCTGCTGAAACCAAACAGACCATCATGACCCACATGCTGATCAGACATAGGTGCAGCTCGCGGAGAATATGCAGATTCAATCGTTCAAAGACAGACCTCATAACAATGGTACTGCATTATAGAATAGAATAACCTTCAACGGCTTTGTGCAGTTCTTCTACAAACATAAAGCACTCTACCTTAAGTTTGTAATCGGCTCGTCGGAGCCAAACCCTCTTAAGGGGCATAACACGTTGGACCTGTCGTGTCGAAATGAAAATTTCGTGTTGGGGCACCCCAAACTCGTACAACATACATTATGTTCGCCATTAAGTGTTACCTGGGCGACCAGCACAATCCGCATAAGATTCATACCATATCTCACTTCTCTCACTGCAACGTACCATACTACATTGCAGTTGGAGAAGTGAAATCTGTTAGTAGACCATTCTTTGAATGTATCTTGTGCAGAAACCATGTGAGAATATACTGAACAAAATATGATTAGAAAATATTGCTTGCTACCGTTCAACGGAAGCAAGAAACAAAGAAACAAGGTTTCCGTCAATGTTGATCACAGGAGACCCTCAAGTAGTGATATTATGCCAAAAAAGTCCATACAGGTGAGTACTGAATTCACGAAGTATACAGGTTGCAAGCTACATGTCAAGGTCAAATTTGTGATCTCTGGTGGGTTCAGCGTTACCCTACGTGCCAAGGACAAATTGACAGTCTCAGTTTGAACCTGGCAGGACAAGTGAGGAGGAAGAAGGTACCAGATGTTGAGTTAGATTTTGGCTGATCGAGAAATCGAAAGTCTGCTGTGATGTGAGTCATGCTGGGAGAGAACGCGTTCTCTCCCAGCAATCATGCTTCTACGGGGCGTACTCGCTGACCCTGACCCTGACCCTCTCTTCCGTTCGATGACTGTTTGCTTCCGCGGCAGATGTTCATCCCTGACAGCGTGGGTTTTCGACCTTCTTGCGTCTTCTCTAGTCACATCTCGTTTATCCCCGGCGTTGCGTGATAGTTTTTTCTGATGCACTGTGTCATGAGGGTGAACTGTGCACTTGTGCTGAATGATGGATGCTAGATCGCTGTCATCACTTCCGGATCCCGTCCTGGCCTGGGATAGGTCATTGTGTTGCTCCTTCTCATCAGTAGCCAAGGAGGTTAACACGCATGCCTGTCCATGTCCATGTGCCCAAGTACTACATCTATGATGATTATGTGCCTTGGCGTTGTCCGGCTTTGGTGAGTCTGTGAACGACAATTCAGGAGACGGAGACGTAAGGCCTTGACGGTCTTCATTGCTCAGGCATTCTTGGCAATGCGAGCATACCACGTCTGAACGGCTGCTCGTTACAGAAGGGACTTTAACGCGAATCTTCCTGCCCACTTTTGCCCGTGCTGTCGTGCCCAAGGAATCTCTGGCAGATGGTCTAACCTTTTTTGAAGCAGTGTGCTTATTTGGTAAGAATACTTCACTCGATTGCACAACACCGTGTGGGTGGGCCTTATGGTTGCTCCTCTTCGTTGCTATGCAAGCCGGTTGCTCCAGTTCGAGTTCCTCATGTTGTCTGCGAGGAATGTCACACTGGGTGCCTCGTGGTGCCTTTTCAGCAATGTTATCTTGTTGATCAAGATAAATTCTATGATGCAAATCGCTCTTGTTCTTGGCAGCTCCAGAGTTTCCTCCTGCCTTTAGTTCATGACTTCCTGATCTAAGAGGTTCATCAGTTTGCGCTGCTTTTCCAGAGCACGAAGACTGGAACCTATGCATTCTTACCTCTGAGGATTTCTGACAAGAAGAAATACTTTGGTCTGAGGAACAAAGCGTGGTGAGTTGTTCTCTTACTCGAGCAATCTGCTCATTCAATTTCAGGACTTCAGCTGAGACTACCAACGAACTTTTGGCTTCTGCAGTACTTTGCTTTGACCTTTGTTCAGGAAACCGCCTAGAATTGTCCCCAACAAAGGTGGATTGTGTGCTTCTTGGCTGCTTTACTGAATTGCGTATCTCATCTCTGTAATTTCTAGGTGTACTACCCAGCTCTGATGAATTGAGTTGTCTCTCAGGATAGGTAGTAACTTCAGCTGAGCCGCCTGACAAATTTCTTCTCCGATCTTGGGATTGTTCAGCAGGAACATTCATTGATACCACCTGCACTTGCAAACACACACATGTATCAAATGACAAGGCTTTGCCAGTTTCATGCCGGTAAAGTATCTTTCATCGACAGACATCAGAAGACCACAACATCATCAGGTCATAGTACAAAGTACAGCTTGTCACTCGAACCGACAACTGGTGTTGCATACACTAAGACTTGAGCTACGGACGTAACGTGTAATAGACTAACGTTGAGGGGGACACGACCTCTCCAAGTGAAAGACGTTATGAAGAATGAAGTAGAAGGATATCCGTGGCTCTGAGCTTTTAAGACAAGGTCATGCTTCGCTGAGAGAAAATGTAGGATAATGACCTGTTTGTGAAAGAGTGCATTCCTGCTATGCACATCCTTCAATAGAGCTCTCAATGTCAGTAGCTCCTCTCTTTCAGACAAACTAATTTCTTCATTCTCCTGGAAGGTGTTTACAACCTTTGGTCGTAATATGGCCTCGTGAGGCTCGTCCTTCCAATTCGACCCCGATGTCATCTTGATTTGACGCTGGCTGTAGAATGCAAAATGTTTTCTTTATAAGATTATGTTAATGGAAGCCCTTACATAGCGCACAACTACGGGCCGTCCCCTTTTGAACTCCTCATTCAACTTCGAAACTCTCTTTATTTCGCTTTGTTGATTCGGATCAGTTGAACTATTTCTTGTAATTTAGAATTTAGACCGCCAATGCTTCGCAATATATCAATTATATTTAATAGTCACATTGAAGTATGTGACAGTTCTCGAACAAGTGAAATGGATTCTTCTAAATTATCAGCCCATTCCACGTAGAAGACCAGAGATTGAAATTTCTCATGATACATGGACTCGCAAGTGAGACACGGAGCTGAGGACCAAAGCTGAAACAAGAGGTCAACGAGTGGTATCATATACCTCAATTTGTTCTCCTCGTCTGAAGGAGGAGATTTACTGTTTTGCCGTTGTGAGGCAAAACTGTGGAGATCACACCCAGTTGATGGTTGGAGAAGTCCAACAGTCTCCAATTCATTTCTCAGTTCAGAAATGACATGGCCTACCTTAAAGTTTTCACTTTGTAGCTCATCTACGCGGGCTTTAAGATACCTGTTCTCCTCCTCGAGACCCGGAGTGGTCTTTAATCCGGTCTCGGTCAGAGATGGTATCTTACCATCATCCACACTCCGAAAACTCAATTCACGAGGTCTACCTGGAGAGTCGTCGTTATCTTTGCAAAAGGTTTCGGGCTGATCCTGCAGAAGATCAATGAAGCTGTGTCAATATCTGCCAATGACGTGCGGAGAACAAAGAGCACCCGCTACAAGTATTTTACTGTCATGTTGATTGCATACCCTACAAGCAACAATGTCAGGGCTCTCTGAAGGAAAAACGAATTGACAGAAGTGAGGAGAGTATCCACTTTGCCAATCCAGTAGATGAGCAAATCCATTTTTGTAAGTACACTGCGAAGGATATTGGTAAGGATATCGCCTGATGTTAATTTGCCTTAATAAGAGTTAATCGTCATGTAGTTCATGATTGTGACAAGCGAATAGTAACTTATGTATCGTGAGAGGCCGAAATCAGACGTTGTAAAAACACGAAGAATTGAGGTAGCAATCTTTTTCATCCATGCAGCAATGTATCTTATACAGTGCAGCAGTACATGTATCAATAACAGGAAGATTTAACAGATAAACAGACCTAAAAATGTTAATATTCCATCAGTTCACTCCTTTTGAAACCTAACCTCGTTTAGGATTAAAAGCGAACGGATAGATGCATTTAACTACTCTTCAAGGTAAATTTTATAAAAAAATAATTGAATATACCGAAGCTCATTCTTGCTTCTTACAACTACGGAAAGGCCCAAAGTTTGAACTCTCTGTAAGCATACTGTTACTTTCCTGTTCCTAGACGGTCTCCAAAAAACTTCGGTCTTGAATGACGATCAAAAGGATTGTTTTTACCAACGTCTCCACTTTATCGTACTCATTAAACCTAAATAGACAATACTTCTGGATTTCGTGCTATTGTTGGGTGGTCAGAGGAGGTTAGAAGGGGGTTTGTTACTTGGACTCCCTATTAGTCACACTTGTCCGGAGGTCCTGACCATGAAGCGAATAAAGTAGAGGAATATGGCACAGAAAGATCACCTGTGCCGAGGTGATTAACGAGCTGACGCATTCTTTAATTTCAACTCTGCGCCTTGATTCAGCTTGGGTAACTTCAAAAATAGCATTCTGGAACACGAAGCGTCGTAAGTTTCTTCTTTTATCTAAAATCTAATGCCTCGGCGGCTCAGTTCATAGGCCCCATTCGACCTTACGGAAATTAAGACGGGGAACTTTGAATGCACAATGGAACGTACTGTCTATGAGTACGTACGACGAAAATCACGGAAAGAACTGATATTTGCGTCATCCCTGACGCATTGTCGTAGGAGCATCAGCGTCACGTTGGTGACTAACTTCAAAGAAAGACATACCAGATGCTGAGCATGCTTGAAAGCAGCGTCCGCTTGTTTTTGTGTTTCTGCCAGTGCAGAGCGTAGAGCAGAGATCTCCTCTGTGTGAGTAGCCTCTGCTCTCACCAGTCTGCCAACCAGAGTGTATCATAAGTATCAAACGACCTCACTATTTTAATGAGTTTTCATCAGATGAGTCACTTTCGTAAGACGTCAAGATTCAGGGCAAGAGACTAACGACTTACAAATCGCTGTCTGCTTTGGCCTGTAGTAAAGCTTCTTGGAGTATGACAATCTCCTTCTCTTGATGGTCCATCTTCTTCTTCATCCTGTAGGATATATCCAGTAGTAAGAAGACTAAACGCCTTGAAGTAAGATCGAAACATATAGAGCCGTATATTTTCAATCTTGAGCACCCCTGACTTGAAACCCAAACGCTCTACCTCTTTGTTCAATCGTTTCATTCCACTCATTTCATATTGCCGTCTCTTATGGTCTACTCAAATTCCTCCCAGCCGAAATTTAGAAGGTGAGCAAAAACATGTACAGTATTGATGTATGTTGTTGACATTCTCCCTCTTCTGAAACTTCCATTTCCGTTTCGACCGACCCGTCTAGCCTCCATGGCCGAAAGGATACGGCGTATTATGAACGAAGGAGTTGAACTCCCCTGCCCAAATACGGACTTCCCTATCGAGGCGATCAGAGCGACCATGAGAAAACCTTTTTCGACGTAACAGTGCGTATGTGCTCCGGAAAACGTTGCTACCTACTCTAATTTTGTCTGATACTGTCCCCACCAGAAATACTGTTAAAGTGTACATAACCGAGATTGATACGGAGGAATATGAGATTGTCATTCTATATCTTCTAGAAGGCTCAAGCAAATGGTTTTGTCGCGAATAGGGACGTGGTTGTACATGGTAGAACCAGCGCAGGGGCCATTAGATCCAGTCTTTCCCCCCGATGAACATAACGACATAGCTGTGATGAATTCGCCGACGAGACGTCAGATGTATAATAGGAAGCACAACTTACGCATCTTCTTGAGCCCGGGATGCACTCAGCAATTGCCTCAGATTTTCCACGTCCTTTACGTTTTCTCCGTATTTTCGTGTCATCCTGTGTTGATTACGATTCGGTATTAGATGATTCCTATCACTTACATGGATAAATGTTGATCCCGGTAAAGACTATCTTCTGAAGTCCACACACACGTTAAGTTGAGTGACTCACGTTTCTCCATGATTCCGTGCATCGCACAATGATTGCTTTAAAATGGCTAGCTCTTCAGTATGCTCGGCCTGCGTTCGGGATAACCTGAATGATTTGTACAAAGTATAAGCTTATTTTACATATGCTTGAAACTAGACAGCTTGTGGAATGACTGATAATTTAGTCCAAATGTAAGAACAGGATAAGATTTTCATATAAAAAATTATTTTAATGGGTGAATTTTTCACATGGCTCCTTGGTGTCTGGCCTCCATAAGAGACTTCTTCAAGGTTGTAATCTCTCCTAGTTGTTCGGAGTTCTTTTGTGAAATCCTGTGAAAAAACAGAAATATAACGTCATTTGTCAACGACTTCGCACTTGAGCCCATTCGCAGCAATTGATCAGAAAACTTGTCGCTCATCAGAAACTCACCTGTTCAACTCTTTCTTGGTCTGTTCGAGTGAATCTTGCGCAATCCGCAACTCCTTATTTTCCTCTTGATCTTTCTTGGACAGTCTGCGGAGAATTGGAGAATTTCGAACATTATAATCATCATTGGAGAATTTCGAACATTATAATCTTAACTCACAAAGCTTCAGGGAAATGACTAAAAGAATGAAAAGATGAATTTGAACTAGATCTGGTAACTTACTCCTCCACTTTAATCCTCGCACCTTCGAGAAGTTGTTCCAGAACTTCAATGCGCTTCGTTTGCTCTACTTCTTTTACTGAAAACCTGTACATCAAAGGGTTAACGTTTTACACCACAAACAAGATACGTAAAGCAGAACAAGAAAACCCTTGATACTTACTTTACAACTCCATACTGGTCGACCATCAGGACTAGCGAACCCGCCTGTGATACTCTCTTCTATTGTCATCGAATGGGCTTGTCGCGTCTCCTTCCAATCATGTGAGTTACATTCGTACCCGTGACCTTATTTTATATTTATTTAACTTCATAAAACGACTAGTGCATGGCCTTTTCCAGTTTTGTTCTCCATCTTTTGACCCTGAACTTTAATATGATATTTGTCAAATGAAGGATTTAAGCAACTCTAATAGGTTTATAGTTGTGCATGCTCGGCATTAAAATGAGAAACACTCTTCCTCGTTGCTTTCAAGCAGACGCACTAAGCCCCGAAAACATATGACTTACTCACATTTTTTCTCTTGACCTCGCTTCGCGAAGCGAATCATGCAGAGCAGAAATTTCATGGCTCCTTTCCACTTGTGATTTCTCTAACCTGATAGAAGAACCGAAAGCTGGACTTCAAACTTGGTGGTTACATGTTTTGTAATTGATAAAACTGCAAGCAGAGGATGGATATATGGCATCTGACGTGGTGTTGTGCCAGGTGTCTAGAAACTCCTTTGAGCTTTACTCTTTCTTGTTTGATATACACTATGTCATAACAATCCGCTCTGCTAAATACAAGAAATGGAATCCAGGCACCGTTACAAAGAGAGCCTACAAAATCGACAATCCGGTGGAACAATACATTCCAGCACGTCTGACCTAGCTGCCTACATTTTCTAGACTGCAGCGAAATGTGACATGCTTGAAGGGCAAAATGAGGAATTATACGGAGACCTTAAATAGTAACGAATAAGCTGAACTTGGTGACACATGATTAAGTTGGTGCAATTCACCATACAAGCATAATTTCAGCACACTTCTATAACCATCAGCTTTCTTTTAGGTAGATTTCTCCACGTCATCTTTATATTACTAGGACATTAATAGTTATTAAGTATCATATGTTTCATCATAGTGAAAACTTTGGGTATGGATTCTTTGGTTCTGATAATACTAACACTTGATAGGCACACTTTTCTCACAAAGTGCGGATCTGAAGATGTGAAGGATGGGACTTTTGTCACTGCTTAATATGCTACACAATTAAATTCCTTAATGCTAATATATTACTCATAACCGTTTCGAAGGTGGATAATGATGTGCCCGACTAGGACTTAGCTCTTGGGATGTCAGGCTGATAGGTTTTCACTGACAAACAAGTTCTGTTTTGCAAGGCATCGATCTAGAAGTAACAAATTACCAAAATAATTTTTTACTGATTTAAACATGAGTATTTATATTGGAAGACTAATCCAATCTGCTTTTACGTAAAGAGGTAGCCTCACATAATTTTTGCTTCATGCAGATTATGTTGAAGAGTGCTCACTTCCTTTGTGAGAGTGTCTTCTTTCTTGGATAATCTGCTCGATAGAAGGCACAGAAGAAGTCAGATCTGTACAAGTGAAGCATGTTAAATGAAGCTGATCGGAGCATAACATCATGATCGCTTTTGCATCAATATGTTGAACACTGCTTACCTCCTTCCATTTTTTTTTAAGTGGCTGAAATTCTCCTTCAGCGAAGACAATTCCGTCTCCAAATTTCTAACTTTCTCTAGCAAACTGTTCGCCAGAAATTTAGTCATTTGTCTAATGTATAAGTAAATCTTTTATTTTGCACAGACACTCTTGGCTTTGCATTATAATCTGTGCGTTCCATGCTCTAGCAATTCGAGAACGTTAAATGTCTTCACTGAACCAAACTTAGCAGCTATGGACGAGAATAACTGGTGGGAGAAAAGCTTTTTGTCAGAAAGAGTGAGCACTTACTCATTCCGCTCTCCCCTGAGTTCCTGAATAGTTTGGTGCAAACTACTAAGTTTTTCAACCTGTTGTGCCTCCATTGTGATTATCCTACCACCATCAAAAATTATTCGGGCATTAGTTGATCAACAAATGAAGCCAGTGCAAGGGGCGTGATGGTTGCTAGAAGTCAAGTTTCCAACTAAATACAATACCTTGTATTAGCCTCCCTCCGCTCCAGTGAAACAGCATACTCGATGCTTTGCAACTGAGCAAGTAATTCCGCTATTTTCCCATCATATTCTTCCAACATCTTCTTCCTTAGGCTTCTTTCCAAGTTCTGCTTCTCTTCTTCCAGCTCTTTCATTCTCGTATTTGCACGCTCCTGTTTCCTATCAGTTTCTTGAGTATGATAGGAAGCATTTTTTATTGGGCTCTATGAGCGAAGTGTATGGATTATAACATTTTGGAGCCCAGCCAATAGAGGAGTATACTAAAGGTTGGATTGATCTCAACGAGAGAAGAAAATGGCTGGAGAAAGCTGTCAGGTTCTCTGCTCATAGGAACAAACGAAACTTTCATCTTAAATCCTTAAACTTCCCAAACCATCAGTTGTCTGTTTCAGAGTACCTGCGATGTACAGTTTATTATTACGCCTGGAGAATTTCCAACTGGCCAGTAAGAGAGGAGAATTCTTGGCTGCTTACATCGGTCACACCTGTAAGCTCGTCTACTGATTTCTGAAGTTCCAGGATTCGATTCTGCATAATCTCCATCTCCCTGTCCTGCCAAAAGAATATATGGTTTCTAGGCCACTTGGTTTTTTATAACAAACTGGTGCTCAACTTTCTAAAAGGATCACAGTACGACACGTGCTTGGAAATCAGACTAAACGAAGTACTTTGCAAAGACCTCTGTGGGACTGGTTACGAGTGCTGACAGCTTATTCTTACTTAAGTTGTTGGATTATTCTGTAATTGCACAACTCAGTTTGAAGTCCAAGTATTCTACCTTAGCCAGTTTTTCTTTGAGAAGACTTTCTTGTTCTGCGACTAATGTCATAACGGTTTTATGACACTCGGAGTATCTCTGTGACCAGGTGCGCTCACATGCTTTCACCGCGTCATTCAAGCCCTTCTCCTGCACCTTGAGCGACTCCGACTGTTGATTTATTTCTGAAATGGAAACAAGGACAACAGACAGATCTCGACATAAACTCTTACTTTATCTTTTCTTGAAGGGTTTCATCCAGAAGAAATAACAATATGGACATTTTCAAATTCTTTTCTTCATGGTTGCTCGACTGTCCGCCTACCCTACGACAAGAAATCGCTACATTTTCGAGAACTTCCTGCCTCTTCACCTTAATTTCATCATTTACGCTGGTTCATCCTAGGAGTTCCCAAAAAATATCCAAAAATGACTGGACCAGTGCAATTCTGAGAGGCACTCAAGGGCACACGAACCTACTGATACAAAACTTGCATTCTTACTTGTCTTCAAAGCTTCAAGCTCAGATCTGTGGCACGTGAGTTCTTGGTCTCGCAGTTGAAGAGCTTCTTCAAGTCGCTCCCTCACAGTTCGGACCTTGGTGTTCAGGATGCAACGCCGAGTTAAACAAGAATTTACCCTCGGAAATAGACCGCAAAGGCGGAGACTAACTGCGGCTCAGTACGAGGTACAGGCAATCTTAAGGTGATATAGGACATGTCCATACGTAACCACGTCAACACAGTTGTAGAAGTAAGACTAATGTCCAACGAGAGTCGTATCGGGAGCGTTTACGATCTTCTAATCACTCAAATGCGTCCGCTTGGCTTTCGCCAAGCGCAGGTCTGAGATGGTCAACTAGGTTTAATTCAAGTTTAATACAGTAATATATTAACACAATAATTTTGGTAGGTGTTACGTGTGCTTACAGATTCTTTGTATTGGCCCAAAGTGGATTCAAGACTCCGAATTTGCTCAGCGTCTCGGTCTGCCAAAGCCTTAAATTTCACGACCTCAGAATTTAAAAGTTCCATCGCAGAATCTTTCTTCTTCCCAACATTTCTTATTTGCTCCTGTGACAGTTTGATGAAGTTGGTGGACACAGTATAATCTTCAGCACAGCCGATCCGCTGAAGCGGCTTTGAGATCATAAAAACTGATACTGAGAGAAACACCCTCGTTTTGGTAGGGAAGTGCTCGTATTGTTTAATCAGGACAACTTTTGAGTTCAACATCAGCTGCCTTCTCCAGAGATATCGTGGCGAGGGTTATAGATAGAGTACGGACCAGTTGGGCTTCGGTTTGGTCGAGCTCGAAATCGCGGTCTTCCAGAAGTTTCAGGTTGTACTTGAAGTCGCTGGTGAGCAGGACCAAGTGCTGCTTTAGAGTGGTAATCTCAGCCTCTCTTCTGTGCACCTGGTCACGCAGCTGCTTCATTTGTACCTCCATCGTCATGTCCCCAAGATTCCACTTCTATCCAGTCCTTGCGTTACATTGCTTCTCTGAAGCGCAGTACCTATTTGTAGGAACTCATTAGAATCATTTGTATCATTTTGTGAGCTCGCGTCATCTATCTCTTTCTCGTGTTCGTTGGGTCTTTGGTATATTCTTCATAGATCTAGTGTAACGGCTGAGCTGAAAGTGCAAATAATTAGTTTTCAAAGTACTTATGTTGTTGGCGCTATTGGATTCTCACAATCTGGTGTACAGACAGTGAAACATTGCCCTCATACGCTAATGACGTGGAAGAACAGATGCCCCGTTTCAAAATTGTGGCTTACTTCGAGCTCGCTCAGCATGACGGTATACCTCCGACCTCATCTACACCAAAACCGTTGGAGTTACACAATCTTGATCGCAGTATGTGATAGCCATCATGTCATCACATCGAAATCCATCACCGTCTACTCACACTCGTGATGTACATACCCAGGGTCGTCAGTACTTCTTCGAACTCCGTCAGCCAATCGGACCTGTCATGTTTTGTTGGCAGAAGGACCTCTTCTTACACTCTCCGCTGTCTATAAACCTCCTGTGCTTGGGAAGTCTCAGCTTTATCTCGTGTGCCGGAAGTAAAACTCTTGCAGTCGTTCACGATACTTCCAGTTATCTCGAATACAGCTTGTGTATCTACCCGGACGAAACCGATGAGCATTCTCCGAACAACCCTCTCAAGCGGAGTGGAAAAGTGACGATAGGTTCTGCGAGGACAAGCTGGACGGTGACGTTCCTTTTCCTCATCAAATCATTTCTGAAAGTCTGCGATGCAATGCCCACAACACAACGATTGTATTTCCGTAGAATAGCTAGCTACCCTGTAACACAGACCTTTCGGTGACCAAAGAAATATGTATTAGGGATAAAACTATGATCGGGAAGCCTTGGCCTTTATTCTTGGGTAATGGACGATTCATCGCCTCGTACTTTTAAGATCTACAGCTGAAAGCTTTCAGGGAAGCAGACGTCTTTCCACGACTGTTGAGCATATGAAGTGGTTCCACATGCGTTAGAGATACTGGAATCCTTAGGGTAGAGCACAGTTAGAGGTCAAGATCTGCTAAATTTAAGGGGGTTGAATCCGGTAATTAAGGGAGCAGAGGGTAGAATCAAGTAAGTTACACCTGTGACAATGAGGAGGAGACCTCTCAGTTCAACAGTGATTCGAAAGATGCGCTAGATATGGAACAGGTTCAACTTGAAGAACAGTGAACATTAATTTCAAGACGCCGAAAACTCAACACTGGAGAGGGGACACTGGCGTAGATCGGAGGAAGATGACAAAAACAGTAGGAATCCGAGGTTCATGATGCTGCTGCATGCATCCAATTCTAGGGCAATCATGCACTGTATATGGCAGAGAGAACAGGCGAGAGAGACAACAAATGCTTCTTAATTTCGAGTCAGACCGAGTCGCTGCGAGACTGACGGAATGAACTACTTGACCAGTGAAGCCGAAGAGGCATGAACGAAGGAAACATGGATCGAATTCCAGGCACAGAGTTCACTTCTCTCCGTCGACTCGGATCTACTCAACAGGCCTGATCGGCCAGTGACGACAACATGCGACGTAATTGCTGATGTGCCAGAAGGGATCGAAATATGCACCCAACACTAAAACTAAAACTCCAGCAAGACCTCCGACTTGCAGTGGATTACGGGACATGATTACATGTAAGGCTGTGTCCAAAGCCTCCAGCATGCTCTTCATACCTGCGCTCTGCGCGATTATGTCTCTCTCGAGAACTCACGTCGGGCTTATCGCGGAACGAGAGAGTCGCCGCGTTCGCCCGAAGCACCATCGAATGCCGATGGCGCCAGCACAAATTAGGGTCCGGCCGGCAACGGTCACTCGGCTGGCCGTGTGAAACGATCCCGAACCAGCCCCAGCTCCTTTGTTTTGAATTTTCAAAGCTCGCTCCCTCGCCCTGCCTTCGTCCGCTCCGCTCCTCACCGCGCCGCACCGCACACACACCCGCACCTTTTTTTCCGGCTCCGCGACGAATCTTTTCCACGTCGCTCGCTCACCTGCCCCGCCTACTACTCTACGGTGCCTTCACGTTCTTTCCGAGCATCGGGAATCCGGGTTTATGCTGCGCCATGCAGCGCGAGCGAAGATTTGGTCGAAGATACGTTGCCTCTTTCGGAACGAATAAGCACGTACGCACGCACGTCCGGCAGATCGAATGCCGAACGGAACTGTCCGAGTTCCGGCTTCGCTCATTCGCACAGGCAGGCGACGACGGCGACGACGACGACGACGAAAGGTAGACAACCTTCGGTCGCGCGCATGTTGGAGTCTTGTCGGAAAGATGCCGCATCGACGATCGAGAATGTCTTCTTCACGTTTGCAGCTCGTCGAGCCAATCGCAGCGTACAGCACACAATCGGAGTGTGTGCTGTGTCATTGACGCCGGTACAGATGCCCATTTCAGACTACGGTTCGTACGTGATAACATTCTCGATCTGCCGACTGGTGTGGACATGTTTGACCAGGTCTCCTGTCCCGCAACTTCTTCAGATAAAGTAGCGGTCTCTTCAGGGATCGGACGGTCGGTTTGTCAGCAAAGAGCGGCCTTCGTCCGAATGCGAGGCATTTATCATATCGTACAAGTCCAGACTCGAGAGTCGAGTCCAGTTTGGGAATGTATGTCAGTAAGCTTCAGAATTGTACAACCGGTCCTTTATGTGACTCCATTTAACGTATGCTGCTTCACTTCAAGAAACTGACTTGTAGTCTTATTTCTCTAAATGGAAAACTTTGCTTATTGACGAATGTCCAATATTATATCTTCTGGATTAAGTGCCTACAGTAACATGAGCAGATCTCATTTCAGTAAAATAAATTTATATCGTTAGATTTTGTCACGTTTGTACGAGAAAACCATATGTACAGTTTTGAACAGTTTGTCTTTGGAAGATGTCACCAAAAAGTCTTTCTAAGCCTGATTGATGTACTTTTTAATGTGTTGTCAAAGGCGACACTTGGTAATGAATTCATAGTGTGGTTGTTTTTTGTCATGATTTGATTGGCTAGCTTGTCATCGTCCAATATTACTGTATGACATGATATCACATATCATGTCATACAGTAATATTGGAAGTGTTGAAGTTTTACAAGTTTTATATAGTACAATCAAACAAGTCAGAGCTTTTTGACAAATAGACTTGAAGAGACTTTCTCGAAAGATCTTTTAAAATAATGGTGGTAAACTGGTTGTCACACGGAATAGGAACACATTGTATTCATGCAGGTACAGTTTGAGTGAGTAAGGAAATCGATCGACAGCTTTAGATAAAGTATACTTTTTAGTATCATATATGCACCGATAGTGTTCACTCCTAAAATTTTGTGTTGATGGATTGTATCGAAAATTGTGTAACTCGTAAAGCAAGATAGATCTTCTACTTTTCAAACAACATAGTATCGTCTTTGCATATGTGTAGTAGGAGTAAAAGATCCCATAGTTGATGAACAATAGTCAATATATAGTACTACAAAAGGCTTGAAGAAAGTCTCGCTGAACCTTGAGATGAGAAGACACGAAGTGAGCTTCTATAATATCTTTTATTGTGTGTAGGATTTGATCTAGTTGTTTCAAATTGGTTTATTTTCTGAAGTCACCACAAAAAATAGCTGACTTCAAAACTCTACATATATCTAAATATATATATATATATAGAGAGAGAGAGAAAAAGTAATTTCAAATCACATGTAATGATATCAACAGCAATTATAGCGCTGAAGTTGCATGGTTAGAAATTGTTATTGGCTGAAGGACATAATTCCATGATACTTTTAATTCAAGTATAAAGAATCTAAAATTGAAGAACAAAAGATGATTTTTTTCAAATTGAGTGTGAAAATATGTTACTCTTCTTAAGACAGAAGTGCTCAAACTCCGTTTAATTATAAAAAGGTCAAATTCATAAGTTTTTTCCATAATCTTGTTACGTTTTGGATGAAAATATTTCCGTTACTTTGTAAACGAGACATCTAAGTGATTAATTAATTTATCCAATCTACTTTGTAATCTAACTGTGATCAAGTTTGAAATATCTTACTTTTTGAAAAATTTTGGAAATTTGAGATGATACTTTAAGAAGTCTCTTGATTTTAGATGAGCGCTAATATCTGTGGTTCGGCTAGTAATTTTAATGCTAAAATGGATAAGAAAACCACCGCTTGTATAGCAATATAAATTCTTATTTCATCCATTATAAAGAGAAGGCGTACATACTATCAATAACAAATATTGCAAATAGTTGTGGAAGTATTCTACACATGTGAAAGATAGATAATTCACCTGGATTAGTCTACTCAAAAATTTATGTACAAAGTATTGTAAGATTTCAAAGATTTATCATCAATAATTTTTTTCCACTTATTGAAAAAATTAAAATAATGATATTGAATAATTATTATTTTTTAAAATCCAATTTCATAGAACTAACTATGGTTGTTTCATGAAATTTTTTCATGATTTTGCAATCAATGGATGAAGGAAATTCAATTGAGTTTGTATTGAAGCTTTTGCAACAAAAAAATTCACAATTTTGGTACAAAAATTATCCTTATTTAATATAAAATATTATCATAATTGATACTTGAATATTAATAACAAATCTTATAGAATAAAGACCATGCCAAGATAAGAAAAAGAATTATTGGTTGAAATATAAATTCTTGGAACTATCATGACTGCTGAAACATTAGAATAGAAAGTTATTGGTCATATGGATAGATTTTATATCAATTTTTAGTGCTTTTTTTTTATCTACAATCAATACTTTTCAAAGATTGTGTACAAACATCCATTTTTAATTAGTTTCATGTTTATACCCACATATTTTTTTCCACCTTTCACATTCAAGATAGTTTAACTTTGTAACAGTTTGTATCACAATTGAACACTAACACCGAACAAGTCCAGTAGTATCTTTGAACCGAAGATCAATTATATGTTTAACAATTTTATGACAAGGTTCTAAATATCACAGTTTTCACATTTATGCTAAAGGATTAAGTTACTTTTCTAACCGTCAAAGCTAACATCTGCTTTCGTAAGATAATAGATTATGTTCGTTTCAACATTTTCGCCAAATTAACCTTCCATTCAAGTGTGGCCGGGACTTTGAAGTACTTCGTGACACACATGATGTCAAAGAATAGCCTCTCGTAAATCAAGCGAAAAGGTGGCTTACAGCTATGATGGTGAGAATGTACATAAGAACCGGTCAACATTTGAGAAAAACCTCTCGTTTTTAACGGAAAGGTAGTAAAGTATGACCAAAATAGCGATTTAATTACCCATGACTTAATCGGGAATCCTCCCTGAGAATTGACGGAACTTAGCATTCATTATAATTTCACAAGTTTCATAGGAATATACCTTCGTGTTTTCAATGGCTATGGGAATGTGTATAGAATATAATAGTAACACTTGCAAGTGGAACTAAACAGAAGATGAACCGGGATCGTAGTAATATGCTGTAGCGAAGAACGCATGAACATCAAATTAGGTTCTGTATAGACATAAGAATGATACGAAGAACTTATCAAGTTTAAACATAAATAAAAGAAAGATTATATTATCAATCAATATCATGACAGTAAAGAATATATTGCATGTGCACAGTCTCATGTAAGATAATCTTCATCAGAAAACTTATTATAGATTTGATTTATAACTATTTTTTAAAAGTAATGTTTAACCTTGAAAATAATTTGATTAAATATACTATAATCTTAAAAAACCTTTCAAATTACACTTGATTACCTGTACTCTTGGACGAATCTGATAATCTTTTAGAACAGCCAATGTTGTTACGGTGGAATGCGTTGCGAGTAGAAGCTTCTATTAGTACCGACGCCACATTCTTTCCATCTGTCAGGCAAAGACATCCGATCCAAGCACAGCGTGGCCACCAAGTAGCATTAATCCGTTCCATCACGCCATGGGATCCCAACTGAATGTTCTAAAAGTGCCAATCGGTCATCTTCTCCTCCACTCGCCTGCCGTCTCGATTCTGATCTACGGTAATCCCACTCCGTCACGTTGTTGGTGAATCGATGTTGTTCACACATGTCTTATTCAGATTGCTACACGACCAACAGATTTCCGATTGTCCGGTCTTCACTCAATCCCATTCGCTTTGTTTCTTTGAACCCATCCGTCTAGCAGCTACTTCTTCGTAGCGCGACTACATTGCATTGATCATTGTCCGAGACACCACGTCCTACCGACCTCGTCCACTGCCACTACATTAACAGGACTTCCACTTCCACGCTAACTAGATCCCACCGCTTGCCATCTGAACGCCTTTTTCTTTATTCTACTCCTCGGCCTGAACCGAGCCGTCGACCCCACCGGCCCGGCCCATTCATCCAACTCCAGTCCTCGTAGCCATGGGGCCCTCCGCTGTCCGCCTCATCGATCGCCACTTCGTTACTCATGGATTGGCCAGCAGCCGCCCTATGGGGGCGGTAGGGGCGGGGAAGGCGGGCGGAGCTATACGCAAGCAGACCCTCTTCACGTAGTCGATATACTGTAGGGAATTAATATGATCACTCCGTGAAGAAAGCACATGCAGGGGGCGGGGGAAATTCCGGTCTTGAGAGAAGTGGTGCCTGGAGGCGAGGCGAGGCTTCGGAATGGGACTGGGACATGTACAAATACTTGCTTAGCTCTGCTGAGCTGAGTCTGGGCATGCAAGGCCGAGCTTTTATACAGGGCGAGCCAATGTTCGTTATCAGTACAGCGGTTGAAATTAAAGAACCCCAAGCGAACGCGTATAAAATTATTCATGGTCCTTCCCTCGCTCCTCCAAGTGCTGAGCAGCTGAGAATTGGTTGAATTTTACTGTACGCAGTCGAGAGGGATGGAGGTAGGGAGCGAGGCAGTGATTGAGTGCGACGGGTCCTGCAAGAAAGTCAAGTGGTCAACCTGACTCACAGCAGCCACTCCGATCCACTTTCGATGTTATACCCCTGTCTATATCTCCCTCTCCCTGTCTCTGTCCCTCTCGATAACAGTAATCTTCTCCTGCAGACAGACAGGCAGCCAACGAGGCTCGGTTCCGTTTGCTTGGCTCTAACAAACAAACAACAATCAACGCTTGGTTACCCACAGATCACTCTATCATTCTGATACTGAGACGCCAAGTCAGCCCTCCTCCTCTCCGTCTACCTCGAACAGCAAAAACTGCTCAGCCCAGGAATGCGCGAAGCACGAAAAGAACGAGGACAAAGAGAATTTTCACGCGATGGACTTAAATCTGTTTCTCTGGGTGGTGCGGCTGGCTATTCCATTTGCACAGAGAATAAATATGTGGTTGGTTGAGCGGGCTGGGTTAGGATGTTGTATATAGTGCGAGTATTGTACCGAGAGTCAGACCGGTCCTGCAGCAGCAGCTGTGAGCCAATCCCCGAGGCTGTGGTAGCAACAAGAGTGGTTTAGCCTTAATTTTACGTAGTCGCCTCGTTTCCATTCCCTCAGTTTGATATTCCGGATGAGACTGACAACTGTATCCTTTATTCTTAGCGACCCCCACAAACCAGGAATCTAGTGCTTAGCATGTAGACGTGGAAAACCATCCACACCGTTCATCGATATCCTTTTGACTTCAGAAATGTTGTGAATTTTGGGAGCAGAAGCAAGATCTGTTTGGGGAATAGAGCTGGGCAGCCAGGCCAGGAGGCATAGGTCAGGCCAGAGCCCCCAGTAGCCAGGCCAACAGCGAGCCTTCTCAAGTAGATCCCAGAAGTGTGCTGCTGCTGCTGCTGCTGCTGCTAACTCCTAGCTACCGGTGAGCTACAGTTTCGGCCTACGCACAGCTCACAGCCCACAGTCAGTGCAGGCAGGTCGGGGGCGCTTGAGTGAGACCAGGCAGAGCTTCTCGGATTTCAATCTATCTAAATTTTCCTCCCGTCCCATCTCTCACTCTCTCTCTTCTCTCCTCTCTCTTCCATCGCTCCTCCTGTTCTGGTCCGTTCTCCGGGCCCTTTGTTCGCTTTTCGATCGCTGCTGCTGCTGCTGCCGCTGCTGTCTGCAGATGCTGGTAAGGAAAAGTAAAGGAATGAAGACCACTACCATTAGCACCCTCGCCTCCTTTGGGTGCGCGCTACTTTTGACAACGTCAATTCCCCCCCTGTCTGATGGTCGCCAACTTCTGCTTGCTGATCATGTTGTAAGAGCACCCTTTCTCACCTCACCTCCTCACCACCTTCCTTCCTTCTTTCCTTCCTCTTCCTTCCCTCCATCTCTCTCCCTCCTTGCTCTCTTCATTCCTGCGTCCTCAATTTCCTTCCTTGCCAACTCGACTCGTGTATTGTTCTATTTAACACTCTGTGTGGGTCACCCGGGCCTATGGATCCCGTCCTTCCAATCCGCATCTCAAGCCTGAACAGAAGGTTTTTTAAATGCTCATCAAACTCCACGCAAAGTTATAGTTCACTGCTGAAACTTAGGATCCGTTTGTGCCATGATTGTGGATGTGGGAACTCGTCGGTTCCTCTGACGTCAGGATGTAGCATATAGCAACTCGTTGACTCGTCCACTTTTAGCTTTTTCCTGCTTTGGGGAAGCTACGGCTGGCGAAGTCCATGGGTTTTGTTTCTAGCTTTCCACTCTCTTGCCCTCGGAATAATCTATCATTCTTCCCATGTTTTCTATGTATCATATCTATCATTCAGCACGTACACTGTCCCACTGATGTGCAATTTCAAGCGCCACGGTCTTTGATCGACTCACGAGTGCTCTCTTTCATGATTCTATGCATGTGTATGCCTGTGAGGACGTGTACAGTTGCCGTTGTGCCTCGTCCCGGTGTTCACTCTCTTGGTCTATGGGATGTGGCGAGTGAGCGGCAGTCCGATGGGTTTTCCTGCCCCTACCAAGAAGGCAACCTCGTTTTCGAATCAGGTACGTACGAACCCACCCCGACGGACGGATGATGGTGTGACCGATTGATTGAGTGGCTGTCTCAGTCCGCCTTCTCGCCCGCCTGTCTATCTATCTACTCCATCTACTCCGAAGCCACTTGTCTCTGGACGTGATTGACTGCGATCATCAGGCCATTCACTTTCTCAACCAGACGTTTTCGTGCTCTCGCATCTCCTCGTGCTCTTTCTTGCGCTTGCCAGCCGCAGCCCGACCCGACCTGACCCGACCCGACCCCGAGAGCAGGATTAGCGTGGTCCGATGTGCGAATCTGAATTGCATTTTCAATTCCACTGCATGCTTTTATGACGACCAGTGGACCCACCCATTTCCCTTCCACCCGGAGACGGCGAAACGAAGCGAGGTGCAATGACTATCAGATTGTTGCTGGTTCAAAGCTGGAAGGTTGCCCCTCATTATCGTGATATAGAATTGAAATTGCGAGGGCTGAAAGTTGAGAAATTCGAACAGGCAGGCTCTGAAGGGACTATCTTGTGCCGTTGGACGCACCAAACTTGGCTATGGCTGTTGTTGATTCTAGCGGCGTTATCCGTACTTAGAATGTGAGTCCCTGAAAATGCTGCGGACTGACAATGGGAGCTCGGTTCCTAGAAATGATATCAGTCTCGTGTGTGAGCTGTGCAGGTCACGTACTCCACGGTATCAATTTTGCCATGGGCTCCGGCACCACGTCTGGTTGCAGAAGACCTCGAGGACGCAGATGACGAGATGGAGCTGAGCGACGACGGGCACGAAGAGCTCGAGATTCAGAAGCATAGAGAGAAGTCGATGGAGCGGATGGATGAAGATGTGTGCGCCATGCAGTTGGAGGACGCTGACGTCGAAGAAGATTTCGAATTATCGAGCAGACGCTCGGACGCGATGGGGGATGGGCTGCAGGACTCGTGGAGGAGTTGCAATTGGGTCGCCCGCCCCGTCCCCCTGGAGCTCAACAGCGCTGCGCATGCAATAAATACTCACGGCCAGATTGGACTCGATGTGCTGGATAATGATTTCCAGGCCATCGACTTCGATGGTCTGGAAGCAGCAATCGGTTACAGGTTCAATGCACGCGCTCTGCTCGTCGAGGCTATCACTCATGCCTCTCGACTGTCCTCCGATTCGCCTTGCTACCAGCGCCTCGAGTTCGTGGGCGACGCAGTGCTCGACCACCTCATAACCAAGTACTTCTTTGTTAATTACAAAGACCTTGCTCCCGGTCGCCTGACGGATCTCCGCCAAGCAACCGTCAACAATGAAAATTTTGCTCGAATTGCCGTGAAGCATAAGTTTCACATTCATTTGCAGCATGGATCAGCAGCTCTACAAGCCAAGGTGAGAATGAGATGATGTTCCATCCCATCGCCATCGCCATCAGCAGATCCTACAACGTTTCTAGCTGTGGCTCTAATATTACTGGATGTACTTAGCTCGAGCTCTCGAGTCGTTGAATTTGCCTCGGAATCGTTTACCACTGCGAGAAAATGCTCGCGGAAAAGTACGTGGTGTAGGCTGATCATTGCGCGAACGAAACAACTGTGCAGATCCACGCCTTCGTAAAAAATATTCAGGCCGAACTGGATAGACCGGGCTTAAATGCGTTCGGCCTCGGCGACTTCAAAGCTCCTAAAGTGCTCGGCGACATTCTGGAGTCCATAGCTGGAGCAGTGTTCCTGGATGCAGGTCTGGATACTGAAAAAGTTTGGCAGGTCAGCTCGTCTCTGCCCGTGGACTCTCATGACGAAAATCGCTGGTCTGGCACGTGGATTTCATGAGCGTGAGCATGCCCGATCATTGGTACTAACGCTGAGATGGTCGTGCAGATTTTCGAGCCGCTGCTGCAACCCATGGTCACGCCCGAGACGCTGCTGAAGCACCCGGTCAGCGAGTTGCAAGAGCGCTGCCAGCAACGCGTTGAGGATCTGAGATACCACGCTTATCGACGAGACAATTTGACGTTTGTGGTGGAAGTGCATGTGAACGAGGAATTCATAGCCGTGGCGGCAAACTCCAAGAAGAAGATGGCACAAAAGCTCGCCGCTCGGAACGCGCTGGTGATTTTGAAGAAGCGAGACGCACGGCTCGAAGCAGCCGCCGAGGAGGACGCCTCCAGCGATGCGGCCGAAGTGCTTCCTCCCGTTCCCGTCACCCACAGCAACATGCCCGTCGCCCAGCAGAACTTCTACGACATGTGCATGAAACGCAACTGCAAGCAGACACTGTACGAGATCTGCATGTCGCAGAAATGGCCCAAGCCCGAATACAAGTAAGCGAGACTTCTCGAGTCCGAGTCAGTCTTCTCGCACTGTGCGGATGGATGTCTTCTTGCTCGAAGCTCTAATCTGATTCTGAGTAGGGTCTCGGCTCGTAGCTTTAGAATATTGTCGATTGATGAAGGGGCATGTCGTGTTCAGGTGTGTTTCTGAAGTGGGCCTCGCTCACGCGAAGAAATTTACCTACTCGGTGAGGATATTCAGAGACCATGGGTGGAGCGAAGAACTGCCAGGCGAGCCCATGCCCAGTGTGAAGAGGGCCAAGGATTCGGCTGCGGCGACCCTGCTACAACACTTGAAAAGATGGTAGAGGCGTATTATTTTACAACGTCATCAAAATTGAGTACCTTTTGATCAGGGAGCTTCCCTTCTGCTCATCACTACAGCACCACATTTTGACAGTTTCAAGGGACCATTTTAGTCATTCACAGAACAATTCAAATTTGTATATAGGATTCTTGGAAGATCTAGACAGTCGCATAGTGGTGAGTAGAAAGGAAGGCTCAAGAATACACCAATTGTAAGGTAAGTGGACACCGGAAGAAAGGAAGGGATTTTCACGGTGATAAACCAAACACATTCTTGTTGGAGTGTAAACTTGGCCTCCGGAGGGATGGAAACTCCCCCAATGTTTGGAGATCACCGTGATACTGGATCAGAAGAGTGTTACAATTTTGTCCATCTTGTACAGAGACCACCGCCAGCATGTAAAAAGTAGAAAGTTTTGAACTGGAGGTCTGGATGGAAATTTCCTCCTTTTTTTAGCTGCATTTATCAGGACTCGTGTTTCATTTTTTGTTCTCCAAAATGAATAAGGATCTCTGTCTTAGTAAGTTACAACTTCTCCAGCGTGTTTCTCACGAGGTTTCCAGCTGACAAGCACGCGCCTCTCGTCGTCGCCCTGAGCCGACATTGTGTTCTCTAATGATCAAGCAGCCGTTTCGTCAATTCCACATGATCCGCGTGTTGTAGATCTCCATGGCTTAGGTAGTCGAACCTGGACGAAGGACGAAATGGATGACAGAAGCGCGTCAGATCCCAGGTCCAGGCTTTTGTCTTCTTTGTAGAGCACGATATCGTTCGAGGCCTTTGGCACGCACGAGTCTCAGAATGCCTCTTCGATTCAAGAGGCTTCTACAAATGTACACGCGTAATATGTCCACCCACGCACCTCACAAAGCTGTATTCTGCTATGTGTCGTCGACATTGCGAAACTAGTCCAAAACCCAGATGCCGCAAAATTAAGTGCGTATCCCTGCCCTGCAAGGGATCCAAACAAGTTCCACCGGTTCAGCATGGTTGCAGGTGAAGCTCTCGCAAACCTCCAATTCCAACTTTGAATTTCCAGACGTAAGTCAGTTAGAGGCGGGCCCTCGGCCATGGTCGGTTATCCCCTGGCTCCCCCAGAGCTTGAGAACAACCCTGACAAGCCTCAGAGTTGATCATTGAAAATCCCAAGGAGCGGCCCAGTCTCGTGTAAAGCTCATTAGACTTCTTTTCTGGACATGTATACAGATACCATAACCCGCCCTTGAGTGCTGTACGTTTATTCTGCGCCCCACACCCTCGAATCTTGACAAAAATATGCAGATCCCGGCTGTCGCTCACACGTTTGAAGCCAAGCGACAATCAAGTTTGTGAAGTGGCGCGGCTGCACGGCGGCGATCTGGGCGTACACCTTGGGTCAAGTCCTGCGGCCACGTACGTGTAGATGCAAAGTATATGCGACCGATCTCTCAGGTCTACGGTGCACAAACTCTCGCATACCGTTCGTGGAATAAGTTCACATGCAAAGTGACGAGGATCAGATACACCGTAGATGACACCCACATATCTCTCGTCTCTGAAACACACGCATCTCGCTCATGGTTTGCAAATCAATTTATTAACCCCTCGTTGCTGTACTCTCTCGATATATTCGGATCTGTCCGACCTTCGTGATTCCTGGGACTTTGGCCAGTCGATACACTAAATCGCGAGGTAGTCTGCCATGGGTGCGATGACGGTGGCGGTTGTAGCCAGTAGTGTGCGAGAGTGCAGGCAGGGAGGTGCGCTCTCCCTCGGCAGGCCAATCCTCGCGTTGTGTCGACGGTTTTGAGATGTGTCGATGTTTTACTGTAAAGGGTGTTGAAAAGATTCCAGGAAACCTCAATTGTGGCATGGTGGGACTACGTCGACGCATTGTAGTGTATAGACAAGCATGCGATGTCTGCAAGCTTTTGACGTCCAGTGTACAGAGTTCTGCCAGATAACAGATTTGCTGCTTTTGCGCTCCACGACTAACTAACCGACTCACAGCGTCTTAGCTTGGTCTACATGTATAGGAATAGATTATTCCCGTCGGCAGGAAGTTTTTGTCTTGTCAGACTCGATCTTGTAAGAGCATCATCTCAGCATCCTCTTGACCTGCATCATACCTCGGAGAGACGTACAGTACAGTAAGGACATGACAAAGTCTCCGATACTCGGCCTACGTTCGCTGTGATTTGGGATAGTCTTTTTGCCAGATGCCTGGATCCTCAAAAAGGCAGAAGATATGGGCTTCAGAACACTAACTTTGAACAATTTAAATAGAAGAATTAGACCTCGGCCAGTTGTTCCAAGTGTAATGCGTAAGATAAATGTGCGCTCAAAGGTTTTGCACTCCTCGAATTAATTCGTACAACATGCTAGAATTTTCACACTTTCATGCTTCAGTCTGAATTAGAGAGATATAACACGTATGCTGATTGCGGAGTTGACACAATTTTTACCTCGAACCGAAATGGGAAAGATCATCTTATGAGCCCTGCAGTGAAAGCTGGAGACTCGTTTTCTCTATATCTGCACAAGAAACCTAATGTGTTGTCGAGTGCTTGGCAGGTCCTGGATCCTTCTGACCAAGTCAAGCGAAAAATCAGAGTTACGTGTTTGTGTTGCTAAGTTGCTGGCGTGGTCACTCATGGTCCGTCAGATGACCATGAAAAAACATGAGCATTGCCCCAAGGACATTTGTTGTAGTATAGAAACCAAGCTGTAAGTTGGTTACATAATGCTTCAATTGTTCTGACAATTCTTGTACTTCAGCATTCCAGCTCACAATGCAGCGCTTTTGGATGCAGAATTCTCACGAAAGTCACCCACAGATCATTCAAACTCTCACAAGCTGCACATGCCGACTAATACAGCAATGGATGTAGATCTGCTGTTCAAACAGTTTGCTTTTCATTTGTATGTTGTTCCGATTGGCTGTTGCCTTCTGGAATCATTGCAAGTCCTCTACTCGAAATCTCAACTTGGTAGATTTATTATAGTTTATAGTCTTGACAAGTACGTTCTACCCGTGTTTAAATGATTGCTCCAATATATTCTGGAACTGTCTTTCATCTAGATGTACTAAACATGTTTGGTATGTTAGTCTGCATGACTTTCAGAATAAAACAGCTGTTCCCCTTGATATGAACTCGCATGCGATAGAACTACTTAACAGTAACAACGGGTTTTTGAGACTCCCCATTGGTGAAAATTGAAATAAGTTTTACTGGAGTTAAATTTTCTGTACGAGGATACAATCCCGAAATTTCCTCCTCGCCTTTCGTTATGTTAACTTCTGTCTATGATTAAAAATCGGCACAATGTCAACCGTTTTTGTTCCTTTCATCGTGTTGCCTAGTACTCCATTCTAAGGCTTAAAACCTATCACTTCTCTTTCGGTCTAATCTAGTATTTCTGATTTCCCAATAAAGATGTATATTTCAACGTAGAGGTTCAGCTGCATATAAACCAGAAAGTAGATGTGCTGCGAAGTTTAAATGCAAATCTTTATCACGTAACAGATGTCTTTATTTTCGCTTGATGTCATGTCTGTAACTGAATCGATGAGGTCTGGCTTGAAGGACTTCATTTCTTCAGAAAACCCACGAACACATGAGGAACTTACACTTCAAACTAGGAACGACGAACAGAAAATGGAGATATAATAATTAAGTAAAATATAGAATAACAACATTTTTATTTAAAATATCAATTAGTGAGCTGAGATAAACACAAACAGTTTGAACTAGATCTTATGAAGGATAAATACCAGAAAAAGTAGGTTTAGAATGAATCCATTCAAACCTATTGTTTCAGCTTATGAATTAAATTTCCAAATTTACATCGTATCAAAATTATTTTTTTCCTCTGTGAGATTTTTACTATCAAACATTGATTTTTCAAATCCCTAAGTAATTTCATTTTTCATTTTTGAGACACCTACTTTTGTGATGTCTTTATCACCACAGAAATCATCTGGTAACCTCTATGACGTCACAAATTTTATATAAGTTATATATTTACACATGATTTACCATGTTGGTTTTTTTCCAACCTTAGTGGTAATTTAATTTCTATAATTTCTATAAAGTCCAAGAAAAATTTTCATGACATAAAAGACTTTAAAATTTTGATAAAATATTAAAATATTTTTAATTGACTAAAAATATACAATTTTTATGTTTATCACTAAATTTTTTTGGGTAAATTTCTATAAAATTCACCATTTTATATCTCATACATTTCATAAAAATATTATAATTATAATTTCTTTTCTTGTTTATTTTATTTCAAAATCTATTGTTAAAAAATTGGTTACATGTAAAGATCGAATCACAGAATGTTAAAATTCTGGCAAATAACTTTATCCTTTTGGATGGATATCTATGTATTTCATACAACTATAAGTAAATTTACAAATCAATATTTCATGTTCATACAATGAAATCAGTCTTTCTATTCTTTTGATTTTTTTCTGTTATGGAAATTATAAGTTTTCAGCTGTTATCATAAATTAACATATGTTCATCACATTCGTTTACTTTACAGGAATTTATCGTTTATTTTTAACATTTCAAATTTAAAATTAAAAAAATAGAGTCAATAAATTAAAATATATTCATTTTACTATCATACCTATAGATAATCAAATATCAATTTTTTTTCAATTTTTTCAATAAGAATTATATCTACTTCTAAAATATCCAAATAATCATCACATGATTGCAAAATGCTTCATACTGAAGAAGAAAAGAAGTAATCTATGTTGACAATTGTTAGATCTATTACGAGAACATTCAAATAAAGTATCACATAATTACTATTATATGGATTAAATAAGTGATGTTCTTGTACATTAGATAGGCACACATTTCCTCAAAAATCCACAAAAAATTGCAGCTATGGCCGCAATGCTTTAACCCCTTAGGAAGTAATTTCGATAAAAGAAAAAAGTAATTATGGCGCCAAAGTATAGTGAAACCGCTCTCAATATAACAAACATCTAATCACATTTTGAAGATCTAGGGCATTAACTAGAACCGGACAGAAGGGAGGGAAGCGCCACAGGATGATATTCAATGTGTCACCTAAACGATTCGGAGCTTTCAGAGCCAATCTATGGGAACGGTGAACGCGGTACACCTTGCCTCACTGACTGCACGCCAAGTACTGCGGACGCAGTTGTGGAGATAATCCTCGCGTTCTTGCCTAGCGCCAGAGTATCATCATCCGGGACAGATTGCAACAGGGCAATTGAGCGACCTGTGAAATTTACTCTGTGAGCTCGAAGCTCGGTCGGTCTTGTCGATGCCCTAAATATTTCAGGATTTAGTCAACTTCGTTTGTCAATGGGATTGAATACCGAGGAGCTTTTATCTGGAGACAGAGCTGAAGCAAGCAGCAGTCGATTTGGCTATGATACTCAAGCCGTAACGGACGAGCTTGGAAATCCATGTGTCACGGTTGCTGTTTAGTTCAGTCTTTTGTCGATTGATTGGAGCTTCCTCGATTTGACTTCGGCCCAAAGCTCTATTCAAAATGGCGTTCCGGGGTGGGCGAGGTGGTCGTGGTAGAGGGCGGGGAGGCCGCGGCTTTCCCGTCATGCGTGATGAAGATGGAATGGCCCTCATTCCTAAAAGCCGTGATGGCCCTCCTCCCCTTTTTCCGGTTTGTTCATGAGAACACAATTCATGCTATCCTGGTCAGTTGCCGGTTCTGTAAGTTGTAATTTGATCTTATTATAATTACGAAACTTACTGTGCGAAGTTGAATGAGAGGTCACGCCGCTTTTCATAAAGCATGTCAATTTTGACGCGAACTTGTATCGACGATTTGCTGGTTGCAGACATTGGAAAATCTGCCGCCGCTGCCTGACCTCACCCCAAAGGACGAAGCTTTGGTGTCCAGAAGAAGGCATTTGGAGTCAGCATGGAATGTCTCTCCGTATTACATAGAGAAACCGAAAGCGAAATCTGGTAAGTGATTTCCACTTGAGGAAAGGTTGAATTCGCACCAATAGGTGCTAGTGTGTTTTGGTTGAATATCCATGTACTGTTACTTTGAACTGGCTCACTCACACGCCGATTCTGACCTCTCGTTATGGGTTTGAGTCGGAGCATGTGCTGGCGAGCCCCATCATCTGCGTCATCACTGCTTTATGTCGAGCAATAGTGCACAGAAAAGAAGTTTCTTTGTTGCCAAATAAGTCTTCAAATTTCCCAGATCAGTCTTACGGAAAAGTCAAAGATTCAGTGACCAATTGCTGACTGAACACTTTTTGAATTTGGTTTGTGCAGTTGGATTAGCAGCAGAGATAGAACGATATTCTGATCGTTACAAGCTCAGTGTCCAAACGAAGCGCCCGCCTCTATCCTCTGTCTTAAAACTGGCTTCGGCTTATTTCCCTGCAGAGCTGTTAGGCCAAGGTGCGTTCTCATAATGAAGCCACTCTTGGTTACGAGTTACTTTAAGGAGTTTCTGGTTTTCTTCTATAGCATCAACGATCATGCTTTGTGAAAAATAATTTGCAGGAAATCAAAAGCGAAATCAGCGAGCTGATGGAGCGCAATGGACGCTTCAAACAGGCTCAGCGAAGAATGGTGAGATTTTATCGTTTAAACCACTCATAATTGGACAAATCACTCTTTGTGCGTGTTCCTGTGAAATCAAAACTTTCACGAGGATTGAGTGGTATCTATTGGACGATGAGTTTTTGTAATCCCACCTCAGTGTTGCTGTCCATCTGTTCTTTTTGCCTCCTCAAATCTCTCTCGATCGAGGTTGTTGACGTTTGAACACTTTCTAATGCTCTAGAGCCTTTTGGTGAACTGACTGCAGATCTTCAAAGACTTGATCAACTGGCTTCACTAGAACAGAAAAGGATGAAAGATGGAGAGGTACAGTTCTACCACTTTCTTCATTTTTGGGTTCAGCCTCTTCAGAGTTTGAATGGAATGCGAAGGTCGTGAAATTAGTTAGGGGATTCCATTTTCCAAAAGTTGAAGTATGCAATCTACATTCTTTCGACATTTCAGTGTGTTCAGTAGCAATGAGTCTTTACATTTCACGTACCAAAGGTTGTTCAGGAACCGTTGTGTAAAGGGAAAGTTCAAGCTTGGACAGTGGTTGGTGTGTCCACTCTTTGCAGGATAAAGAAGACGTAGATAAGGAAGAGAAGAAGAAAAAAGAAGGTGAAGAAGGAGATGATGATGACGATGAAGAGAAACTTGATGATGAAGATGAAGAATTTGGAGATGACGACTATGCACAGGTATAGAGCTGGATGGCACAGAAATGAGATATGAGAACACTTTCAACTACTCTCAAATTATATATCTGCTTCTCGTGTCTTGATTGTTCTGATCTTGCCTTTTCTAGCTCTTTGTATCGTCTAAGGTGAAACCGTACCCTAAACCCTTATAGTCCTCTCCTTTGTTGGTAATTGATGTTTCTTATGTTTCGTGATTTCAGAACTTCGGATTTGACGACGACGAAGACTATCTGGATATGGACGACGGTGGTGATGATGGTGAGGTCCAAATTTTGATTACTGTAGACGCTCTCATTTCTTGGTTCCTGTTTCTTGTTTCATCACTTCAGTTCTTGAGGTGATATTTCAGGACAGATTATCATACGGTTGTTCTAGCATTTCCTTTCTTCACACTTGAATCAATTTGTCTGTTCTGTGCAGAGGGAGCAACTTACACCTAAGCCGTTAATGGTTCCAAGTCTGATCAAGGTAGAATCTAAGAAACTTTAGTCGCTTATCGGTGGTCGTGTTCTTGTGTTTCATTACAAGAAGTTGGCTGAAGCTCTTCTCTGTTTCCATGATGAATGTTTGTCATCATTCGTCTTTCATGAAATAGATAGATGAACTGGATCGATGATTAATATAAGAAATCAATCAGCTCTACTTTTAATTTGTACTTGTGTTCATTGTGATTCAGTGTTTTTCTCCTGGTATACGACTCAACCAGATCCCTCATCAAGATTAACATTCGCCTGCAATAGCACTCTGAAATTGTTCTTGTGTTTATTGTGATTCAGCTTCTTTTTATGATACACAATCTAACCAGATCCTTTATCAGGATTTACAAATGCCGTCAATGGCCGTCCAACTTTGGTAATAACTTGAAGGCAAGCCTCCCTGATCTCGAACTCTCCCCTTGAAGTCGGGGTGTGATGTCTTATTTTTGGTGAAGATCCTCGGCAAAGTTCTGCTCATGATGGTTTAAAAGGTAAATGTACAGCCGACCGATGTTTACAACTTAATCCTCTTACAGTCCAAATCACAAAATACGGAAGAAGGATCGGGAAGATGTAGAATAGTTTCATGTTTTACAAGCTCGTAAGTGGCTTAGTATAGGCAGCTCGGCCCGTCTAACAAGCGATTGATGTGAGTCGTAGCAATGAGGAATAAAATTAAGCGATTTCATGCTCAGGAAACAGATACAGTACCAGTCTACAACAATATATACATCAGTAGGACGATCTTTTCACTGGAGAAGGTTGCTAATCCCGACGCCAGCCGTAATGGAAAGTTTGGCTCTTGTTTCTGAAGTCGAAGGCCAAAGATTTTGTCCGGTCTGCCTCGTTCGTCACAAGACACGAGACAGGCGACAAGAAGCATTGGCCGCTCCCTCACGCAACCTCCCTGACGCAAATGGATGTCTTGGCCCTTCTAAAGCTCAGGCAGGGCGCTAGGATGCCACCCACAGATGAGGTCAGCATTGACGGGACAGAACTCGCAGTCTCAAACTAACAATGCATGGTACAAGCCTATTGACGAGTACAGATCTCGAAGCCTGTTCATACCTGTTCGGCGGAAAAGAATTTTAGATCAGATCAGAATTTCTCCCTTCAGATCACGAGTCAGAGTTTATTCTGTCGCGTCAAATTGTAAAATCTCTGTCGATTTCAGTTTAAGGAGGGTTGATGCGAGATCGGCACCCTCTAGGAAGCTTCGAATTCCGCCGAAGCCTGTTGCATGTAAAACCCGTAAACCTGCACATCTCGACGCCGCCTGGCCTGAATTGGTATGTTGGTGATTGCCTTAAATCTGGCAATCTTTCCAAGACCACACGCTGTGTGCAACAACATGATGTAAATCGTGTACTGAACAACTCGCTAGCCTCTAACAGGTCACTGATCCAGACATCTCAAGAATGTATCGAGAACTTGACGCCGAAGGAGATCGAAACCATTGCGGACAAGGGACTAGATCTTCCGAACTTGGACTTGCCATGGCCTACAAGTCTTCTCACTACACCCACGAACCGCCTGGGTCACTTTGGTCCCAGCTCCGGAGGCATCGACACCGACCACAGTGGGCTTTCGTGATCTATCACGCCAGAGCAGTAGGACACGCGAGGGCGACGAAAATCGTTAAGCACCACGCCGTTGAAGATAGCGGGAAACTCTGGATCCGTCGAGCGATCTTCGATGCAATGTTCGAAGCACGTGCACGGGCGATTGTTTGCGTCCGCGAGGTGGTCGTTGCGTCGGCGCGGCGGAGAACCACGTGACCCATGTGCGCGCTCGAGTCGGGTGGCATCGTCATCCGCCCCTCCAGCTCGACCCACAGTCGGCATGGAGCTTATCCGCCACCTGGGCAGCTACCGGCTCGGCTGGTGCTGCCTTTGGCCTTTTTGTCTCTCGGACGACGCAGTGGCACAATCCCTAAGCATTCGAGCTCGACTTTCCCCGAAAGCCTTTTTCGCTCGACTTGACCGTCTTTGCGGTGCGGTCCTAGGTCATGCAAATATTTCCAGTCCGGACATGCAGAACAGCCGTCTCCGTGGACCTCGACATCCGACTTTCCCAGTCAGCCGCGTGCCATCCTACGCGCACCCGGACTCTGCCCAAAAGGTCCGAGAAAAGTGCCAGCTCTCGCCTCGACGATGCTGACAGTGCTCCAGCGTCTTCCGGGTTCAATCTCGTAGACGACGTTGGGCGCGGTACGCGCGAGAAGACGTTGCAATTTGGAACGCGCGCGCGGTGATCGACGACGGCGTCAGAGGTGGATGGATGCTCGTTGGTCTCCGAGCCGAGGATCGCAGGCCGAGAGGAGCGTGTAATCGATCGTTGGCCGAGCGCTGTCGTTGCAGCTTTCGCGGGGCGATTGGATTGCGAGTCGTCGTTCTTGCTCGTGGGCCGAAGACAGGATTGTTGTCGGCGGGACTCAGGATTGGGACCGAGTATGCCACCGACCATGCCGGAGCCGCTGTCGATAATATGGAGCATTGCAATGCAGCTGAAGATCCTAATTGGGGCAAAGAATTCCCTGAAGAAGGACTGTGAAAGTCTTCTGAAGGTGATCGAGAAACTTCACGCGAACCTGCAAAGACTCGAGGTATTTATCGCCCACGCTTCGTCGCCTTCGTCCCTCGGCAGATGTGTTTTCCATCCTCAGGTTTGTGGATGGCTCGCCGAGGCCGATCGCCCATCGGCTGATTTCTTGGGCATTTATGTAGCTTGATTGTATCTATGGCCTGCAGGCTCTTATTATCTGCTCTCATCGTGACTAGGGAAGCCCCGATGTTGATCAATTCGAAAGGGTCTTGAATAAAATTCGCATTTCCTCCACTAGATGTTATGCTATGCTGGAGGCGATTGAGGCTCGGAGCTGGACGGATTCGCTCTTGAATCAGAAACTGTCTTTCTTCAACGAGAAGCCGAGCGACCTCATCAAGAAGCAACAATCCGAGTTTTATGATCTCATAGATGAACTACTGGGCGAGCTCTGTACAAGAGTAAGTCACTATCCCTGGCTGTCGACCGAACGTGATTTGTTGTGGAAGTTTCTGTGCACAGGCATTCACCATCCGGAACCTGAGTCCGGAAGTTTGCTGGTGACGCACCATAGATTCCTGAGTGATCTGACAATGAGAGACATGGCCGGAGTACTCGAGTGTCTTTCACGCCCAGGTCTCTGATGTGTGCACTTTTTTCTTCGGGAAATGTGCACAGGGAGTCAGAAAGGCAGAAACGGACGACATCTATGAAGCCGGGTCGAAAGAAACGCGACTGTTGGGAGTTTCTAAACTGAGGGCAGTTCCAATGTGCGGGAAAAATGACGATGCCATCCTTCTGAGCGGCGAGAAAATTCGATACAAAATCATCGAAGACACCATAGAAAACGTCGGCGTGGTCTACACGTTAGAGATGGAAATCAAGAGCTTCGCACCTGGCCTTTACAACTGGCTTCTGCAGGATCGGACGCATCTGAGTGCCATGCTTGCGGTAAACAGCAGCTCCGGTCAATCGACTCGCGTACTGCAGATCACAGAGGAGGACAAAAGCTCCGGAGGTGACAACCCCACAGCCTGCATTTCAGACGAAGACGGAGTGGTAGCACACGTCCAAACCAAAAACCAGTCCTGGTTCAACAACGCCGGAACTATTTTAATGCGGGATCACTTCAGGCGGTCTCTCATACTTAGGCTCAGAAACGGATACAAACCTCAGATATACGACGCCGAGATTCTTGTCCGAAAAGACAGGCTCCCGTCGGACGATTTGCTGAAATTGCGTATTCTCGGTAAGAAGTTCGAAGACCTGACCTACTACAAATGCGACACGGAAGAAACGGGGGAGGTACTCGCCGTTTATAGACACCGCAAGTCCGAGGCCTCAGGTTTGCTACATCTCTTGGGAAGGGCAAACCAGATGGAAATCCAAACCATCATAGTTGCCAGTTTTGCTGCTCTGGGACTGACCAGTGATTTCTAACCTGGCTTGACTGACACTCTCGGAAGGGATTCTTTGTCGGAGTAGAGTTTAGTGTGAGTATGATTGTGCTTGCGTTACAGAGTGTAGGGTGCAAGAGTAAGTCGTGCACTGACGCTCTTTGTATGCTTGGAAGACATATATATACTGGCTGCACACGTACGGTGCTCGTCGGAAGACGTGTTTGTTGCCTGTGTCTTTAGTCACCAAGGAGAGCAAGCACCACCTTCTGACCAATGCCTTCGAGGCGAAAGCTGCAATGCAGCGCACCTCATCCGCCTTGACATCCTGTACGCGGTCGATCCACTCGTCAATCAATCCTGTAATAACAAATGGAGTTCTGTTCTGTCGTCCGAGCTGTCCCTCTTTCCCGGAACAAGTAACCAATCTGCCCCACGGCGGGTTTGTGTTGCCTGTTAGTCGAACTCTAATGGAGACCTATTGTGGCGTAATTACTCGTCGTGTACGGTCATGGAGCTTGAAACAATTGACGGGAAGATATCAGTCCGAACAATGGCACGAGAGCGAGGGTTCATTCATCGCTTCCTGTCTCACGAGGAGCGAGCTGTGAAGAACTTAGCGCTTAGACACGTACTCCTATCATTTCATGCACTACATCCACTTTTATCTGAGGAGTGGAGTAGGCCACAAGTGCCCAGTGAAACGGCGTGAAGTATGGCACTATCTGTGATGCAAGTCCCGGTGATCAGAAGAGTTCTCGTGCTTTGAAAACAAGTTTCCGGAAACAATGTCGAACAAACTGTCAAGAAGAATGGGAAAGACTCCATCTTGTATCTTTCAGGGTTCTTCATTCACTCAAAACCACTTAAGGTTAGGATTAAGGAGATGAAAATCAACGAGTAGAAATGTAGCCCGCCCCGTACAACACGACTGTAAGAAACCACTTGAAACCGACCGATCTGAACGCAAGTGAGCCACATGTTCGGCGGATTATTCTGAAAAGCTCTCGGCGCATATGTCGTCAACTATCATCGAACTGGCGTGTTTCCATAAAGGTGAGATACCAAACATTCGAAATCTACTGAAGAAGACAAAATGTTGCAAATACATATTTGTTGCAGATAAACATTAAATAAGATCGAAATAATCCAACCAATCTTCTTGGCAGCTCCCGTGTGGTGCACACCGTAAGTCGAATTCGACTCCGGTTAGCTAACCCTTTCTTTCAATCATCTTTCTTTGTATCAAGGTCTTTCTCTTACTATGATGTTTGTATAACATTTACGCTTCCAAACTAGCCTTTCAGCGTAAACACTGATGAAGTTATTGAGTTGTTTTTCAGGTTTGGTACATCACTTGTTAGAGGATAGATTCCATGTGTAGTTACTGTAGTCCGATTCTAGTTGGCCTTTCGTAACGGAGAATATCATTGGTGTATTACATCAAATGTTATTGAATACCAGCGGGAGATATCCTAGGCCAAAAAAGTCTCTTCCGGACCCTTCGGCCTTTGCGCTTTATGAGAAGTAGGATTAGTGTTGTGACTTTTTAGTTATCAGAACATGATTAGAATACAGTAGTCTCCCCGTTAAGTACGCACTTTGAACCCGGGAGTGCTGTCCGTTTTTAACGGGGAGGTGCGTACTTAAGAAAATTGACTTCCTAATCTTTTGATTTGAGTGTAATGTCAAAGGAACCTTATATGAACACTACTAAATGACTGAGCTCTATTTGATATCATAGAGAAACTGAGCAAAATCATGATTCCATTGGAAGAGCTCGAACTTGCAAGTGACTTGATCATGAAGATGAGACAAACGGAACAAATCACAAAGCTAAATTGAGTTAATGTATAATGAAGTTAAAGAGAAGACTTTGTAATCTCACTCTTCTAACATCTATTGACACCGCCAATTTAAAAAATATTGCATTGAGTTTATTGATTTCATATATGGACTCCAATACATATTTGTAATTGCTAAGTCGTATTCAATTGCCAAGTGAGTTGTAAAAGGTGTTGCTTCTATGAGAGTGATTTGAAATTTTATCATGGACCCCAGCAACGTTAACTGTTATAGCCCAATATCATCTAAAACCTCAAAAAAATGAAATAATCTTTTCTTCATTTTGCGATAGTGGCTTGCTTTTTTCTCTACTATGAGAGTTTGTCTCTAATGTTAAACGAGTATCAGCCACTAGAGTTTCACGCTTCTAACAATTTTTGACCATAAACCAAATGAACTACATGTCATGGATTAAACCCTATTTTTTGTGAAAAAAAAATGCTTACTTAACCGGGATGCCTACCTAAAGAGGTGCGTACTTAACCGGGAGACTACTGTACTGGTCACACTAGTGTAAAATAACCATACCGTGAGGTTGTGAGTCAATAACATTAGACATTCATCCATAATATATAGCCAAATTGGAACTATGATGTTTTCGATAGCACTTGAGTTGCACACACTTCATGTCAAGTTGTATTTCAGGCATGAAGATACTCCTACTATGCATTTGTAGTCCACAGATATATATATTTGGTTCCAGAAAACCAAGATTTGGTTGGAGATGTGATAGTTATCTTGTTATAGCTTGGCTTTAACTCGGATTTCGAGTTAACCCATGGCCAGCTAACTTTAGTCAGTGGCCAAGTTAGCATTGCCACTATACAAACCTTATTCTTGTTGTTTTGTTGTTGGAAACCTTCATTATTACTTTGATTGTTTTACTCCCCTTGGACTTAGCCCACATTTATTGTGCAACCTTTCGTTTTTGTTTTTTCTTGCCTGGTTGATTTTGTCTAGTGTTACTTTTATAATTAAAGTTGTTATTTCTAAGTTCTGAAGAAAAATTTCGCCCATTGATATCAAAGTATGGTTTTGTTACTGTTCTGCATTCGTCCAAGCTGTAGATTTTACTGTTTTTAGTCGATCGTCTTCCATCATCAAGAGCTTGCAAGACCGAGTATCCTAGGAGGTTGGAAATGAATATGAAGTTCTTGTACATTTTTTCACATTAGCAATAATTTGCCCGATGTAGCCAAGCAAGCGCAAGCTCACGATTTTGCCGTCGAGCTATGTGCGCTTCCTCCCGACTTGTATAGAGCCATTGGCAAACTACTATACTTGGATATAGGGGTAGGAATTTGTGAACAATCTATGGCACGAGGACAAGGCGACAAAGCTATAGGTAAATTATGTTATTTGGATATAAGGTGGAAGAATTCCTCGACAATATGTGGCACGAGGAAGAGTGAAGCGGATGTTGCAATAGTGGAGTATTAGTGTCATGTCCATATGTGTTGTTAGCTAGTAATTTTAGATCACAATTAATTCTAGGTTATCTTAGATTAATGTCCACTCTTGTTGGAAAATATAATTGCGTGAAGACTCAACAAACCTTCAGTTTTTTGAGTTTAGCCTTCAGCGTAAGTAGTAGCTCTCAATGGATTAGCTATGATGTCTCGTTAACATGACATGGATTCTACAAATTGTGGAGAGAACTCGGATCGTTGGCAAGTGTTTTCATGCTGGTGGGAGCCGATGAAATTGGTTTGGGCGGTGTGAATCCATGGAACTAGCGATCGAACTAGAGAACAAGAGCATGGATTCTACAAATTGTGGAGAGAACTCTTATCGTTGGCAAGTGTTTTCATGCTGATAGGAGCCGATTGGATCGGTTCAGGCGGCATGAATCCATCGAACTAGAGAACAAGAGCACGCAGCATACGTGAAACATCCTAGATAACATACGTGAAACATACTCGATAACATTTGTGCACGTCGGTACACTTGCGTTGGGGCAAAACGGACACGATTGATTTTGACAATGGATCTCATGTGACATTGTTTTACGTTATAGTCCAGTTGATTTAGAAGATGAACCAGATGTACGGGATCATGAAAGACCCACAATGGTATTCAGGTGCAACGCGTATCATTGAACTAAACAAATTTTAACTATAGTTTGATATGTGGTGTGATATGCAGTTTTTGCAAAATCCCACGTTATTCACATACTACTTCGCATGAAAAGTATTGTTTCAGCAATTAGAAATAACCTTTATGGATGATTATCATGAATTTGGAAGATGTTGTAGAGATTAACGCATGGATACGTTAATGGTTTTCAAACTACTTGTATATTATTCAAGGTGGTGTTGTTACTAATGGAGATGCCAGTGGTATTGTTACCATTGGATGTGCAAATAGCAACACTAGTGGAGGTATTGGTGGAGCTGCTAGTGAAGATATAAGGAACTATATTAGTGACGGTACTTGTGAGGCAGTTTGTGGATGTATCAAGAACAATAGTATTGGACGTATCGGTGAAACAATTGGAGTAGACACTACCGGTGAAGCACTGACTCTAGCAGCTTGAGTGAAGATGTTAGTGACGTATTTTTATTTAAATCAATTGCTAAGTTCTTTAAAAGATTAAAAAAGAACTACCAATGTATGAAAATGGAGAAATTGAATAGTCTTTAAGAGTTTGAACTCAAGACTTGTGAGAGTATTTGAGAGATATACATTTGTATGCGACGTTTTAATATTCACGGTGTGATTGAAACACATGTTGTTCAGTATTGATTTTGTATTTTAGACGGAGGTTTGCAAAGGAGAATATGTGATGCTACTCTCATGAGCAATGCGTCACCCACATTGGTCCATGTGTTTGCTATCTCTTAGATAATTGAGTTTAACATTGTAAAGTAGAGAATGGTGACATCTTCGTATAGCAAGAACACGATTAATACTTCTCGTGTCCAGTAGAACATCATACAGTCTCGTCCCATTGGTGGTGATAGTAGTGGAAATTGTGAAATTCAAACACGACATCAGTCAAATTTCAGAGAGACGGATGTACGGGCATCATTTACATCATTTTCTAGTCTACAACTAGTACCGGTATGTTGGACATGTGAAGTTGATTATCTAGGAAAATATTATTTCCAAGTGCGCGAAAGACAAAGTTCACAATCTAGTCCTAAGTCAGCATAGGTTGTGTGTGACAATTGTGGCCGAGTGTATCAAGGATGATACACTCGGCCTTGAAACAACGCTATCATCCTTGATAGCGTTGTTTGGATCTTCATCAAAGTTGAGATCTAGTGATAGAGGTCGTGGCGTAGATGCTCCACAAAGCCGAGGGGATAGACGTGCTGATGCAATTGAGAGATCTGTAGTTGTTGTCTCTTCTATCATAGTAATTGTTATGATTGCTCGGATTATGCTGTTGAAGTAGACGCTTGCAGCTATGGCTGGTATTTGAGCGGAAAATTTTATCTCTCATGAAATAGAGGATTTTTCCTAGTTGGTGAATGCAACATAGGAAAAAACATCGGTTGTAATAACAAGAGATGTTATTCATGTTTCTTAGTCATGTGGTGCGACTGTGGAGTTGGATACTTAGAGTAATGAGAATGGAAGGTAGACTAAACTTTTGTAATCATTTTTGTTATTAGAGATGGGTAGGATTTCATCGATGAATCTTACGCCATCTAATGATCTTGGAATGAGTACGGATCCATCTACATCACATGTAGTGGGCACATAGACGACATATTGTGCAAAATTGCTCATGACTACTTCAGTTATGAAATCTCCATTATTTTCAGAAACGGAGGTGATAACATATGGAGTTGATTTGACTTGGATATTTCATGTAGCAGCCACGTTATGTGAATGTGGGAGTGTCATTGTTACGAGTGCAGAAATATGTGAGAGATTGTTCTAAAGCAACTCTCAACATCTACATTGAGCGGCGATGCAAATTGGTTGGCGGCAATGGCAAGGATGAAGTCATTACCAATCTAGCCAATCATTAATCGTGAGAGTATTGTCTTTGGTGTATATATGGTACACAATTGACAATATTGAAGTGATTTGTTTTGCTTGTTTTCTTACAAGACAAGTGTATGTCCCCGTCAGAATTTTGTTTGACTCTAGTACACAACCCTTGATGTTGAACAATGCAACATATATTAGTTTGGATGTTTAAAGCTTAGAGTTGGAGTCTTGTACACTCAAGATTTAGACATCATTTGACGTTGCCGGTGATAGATATTACTTTATGAACAATTAGAGCGTATTGGTGTAGTTAAAACATGATCATGCATGTGATAGATCATGGGTTGGAGCTCGTGCTATGATTACATTAGCAGAGTCATACGATGTCCTTGTTGATGGGGCAATCTCGTATCTGATGGGTTTTCAGATAGATTATTGGACGTAGACAGCTGCCTATTGCCCTGATTGACAATTTGGTGATGGACGTGTGAGCAAGCTACATGTGAGATTTACTTTTAGAGCTCAATCTCTTGAATCTTCTACTACAATTTTGTGTCTTGAATTCTATCATCAGGATAGCACACGAATTACACATGATACCTACATGATGTACATCCTAGCTCATTGGATAATACTATCTTGCTCCTTGACATTGAAGTATTGCATTGAAACAAAGAAAGTTCTATAACAATGATTCATACATCGATAAACAGAATTCAATGAACAAATCATGACATTTGATACAAGCTATGGTTTTTGACATTCTTTAGATCTCTAGCATTGAAGTTTAGTACATCTATTGAAATAGATGTACTAAACTGCAAGATTTGAAATGTTCGTTAGAGAGTGCATGAGTATCCATAAATGAATGATACAACTTTTCATAGCACCTTAAATAACAATACTTTAAACCTAGTGTTCATATTGCTCTACCAATAGTGATATATCCGAGTAGAATAATCACTTATTATGCAAAATCGGATGATTCTCTCAATTCTATACTACTAGATTCACTTAATTTTGACTTCGCTGGAAGAAGTATTTTTCATCATAATGATATAGAGTTCTAGCCCGTGGTTTTCTTTTGTTTGTCTTTTTTATTTTGTTTCCATTTCCTGTTTTTTCTGTCCAATCATCCTGTTTTTTCTGGTGGAGTGTCGACTAATTTCTGTCCATTGAAATCGATCTCACCCGGTGGTAGGCTTGGCCACGGCACGGACTGGCGGTTAACCGGTAAATTGTCGGTCCGGTTTAACCGGTGCCAGGGAAATATTCATTTTTTGGTACATTTTTTGCATTTTTTGGTACCAAGAAATGTTGATTAACAACCTAGCCGGAGTCAACTGTTGCTATCCTAATGTGTGCATAGTCTGCTAAAATAGTTGTGCAAGATAAAATGATCGTTGTAGACTCCGTTCCATTCGAGAACAAAACGCCTCCCGAATAAAGGAGAGTTCAGCAATGCTGGGAGCCAGTTGGTTTCCTCATCATTTTGGCGTAATCAATCATCCACTTTCTGCCATTTTAGCTTCAAGCAGAATATACTATCATCGCGGAAAAATATTTAAAAATTTAGAAAAATTTTACTCCTAAATAATGAACCGGTTAATCGGTCCACTTTTTTTCGAACCAGTAAACCGTTCACCGGAACGTGGCGAAGCCTAGGCGGTGGAGGTCTCACTCGCTGCATTCAAGCGAGTGGAAACAAACAAACAACGTCCGGAAGAACCAGCTCGTGGAAGTAATTGTGTGTGAGTGAAAGAGGTGCAAACGCGTGGCACGGGGATCCATGTCCCGTTGCTGACGACGACTGCGGAGGACGAGGAGTTTCCAAAGCTTTGAGAACATGGCGACTCTGCCTCTGGTCGCCACAGACAGAGGTTCACAAGCCTCGTGTCCCGCATTTGCATCTTCCGTAGTTCGATCTAAGATTCTCGACCGAGGGAATGGCGGAATTTCGATGCCTCCTCGCAGAGCCCCCGGCGGCTCACGCTTGGATTCCCAGGCGACAGACGCTGCCTGTGACAGATTTCCAGCAGAGAGCGAGAAGGGTGACCGTGCGCTGTGGCAGCAATCCCTCTCTCTCGAAGAAGGGCTCGACAGAGTATCGGGATTCATGGCTGGACCTTGCATTCATCGATGGTTGTCGCAAGGCGTTTGGTCGTGTCGCCGGGTGGCAGGTAGACAGACAGACAGCCAGAGCTCTCTGTTTCAAATAAATGGCCGGCAGATGACGATGTGACGTGAGAGCGTGGCCAATTTCCTCGTGTACTGAATCGTTCAGCTGAATTTGCGTGCAAGGGCAGTCTTCGAGATCCTGGGAAGAAGGCTATTTGGGCATGGTCGAGGTTTCCCATGCTCTAATGCGAGGAAGGACGGCTGCTGAACAACAAGCCGCAGTTTTGCAGGTTTTCTAACCTTTCTTCTCACTCTGGCACTGCTTTGTAAGTAATGGCTGTGACATTTACGTCAATCAGGTCTTTAGACGTGGACCGTCATTAATCATTCAGTCCTAAATAACTGTAACACCTGGGCAACAGCTTTGAACATATATAAAAAAATAAAATAAAAAATTTCCAGAGCCTGCCAGTTACTCTAAGACAAGATTAGCTCGTGGAAGATGGCTGTGTGAGACGATCTGAAGGCATCTCCGGTCGTCACTTGTTTTCTTTTCTTCTTTCCCTTCGGCTGCACTTTTCCAACTTCAGTTATTCTTCAACTTCGCAGTTTCCAAATTCATCGATCTTGAAAGTTCCCAACAGGAAAACCTCGAATTCTGTGATTGCTGTCGAATAAGTGGATCATACTTGTGTTGTGGGGGAGCACGTGATTAAAAGATTAGAAGCCTACCTACAGAACCTATCGTGGTGCTTCCTCGTTCTGGACCTCCAGTGATGCTCGATGACCATTTACGTATTCGCAGGGCTTCCCACGAGTTCCTGACTGGTTTCGCAAGGTTTTCCCTTATTCGGATTGGGGAGCAGAGCTGAATGCACGCATTACCCCTTTATTCTTCGAATGGCTAGTGGGTCCCTGTCAGGTAAGGTTTATTTTCTGTCTTCAAGAGGTCCATTAATCTATATGCAGAAATTTCCAGCTGGCTTTCAGGCTTCAAGCCCAAATGCCGGATGCTTGTCTTGTATAACGTTGTCGGTGGATTTCCTATCCATCCTCCACCCGGTACTTGAGTCAGATCGTTCTTGTGTGTTCATCTGTGAAATGATTACAGAAGTAAGATCTTTGAATGCGGAAAGGTTCATGTGAAAGCAGGTGGCAGAAGTGCAAATCGGGGATAAACTTTTGCGCAGTGAGGTGCAAATAGAAAAGTGTCGCTATCTGGAGACGAGTGGATGCACGGGCATGTGTGTCAATCTCTGCAAAGTACCAACACAATACTTCTTCACGTCGGAACTGGGGTATGTCCACTCTGCTGATGTCAATCATGTTTGGACCATACTGAACCTGATTACTCTCTTTCGCATGAACCAAAAGAGTACGTGAGTATGTGCGTAGCTGCCGAATTGTCGTGAGTGCTTGTGGATAGAAAGTCTGCTAAAAAGATCGGTCAGACCAGGAAGTCGGCGCAATTGAGTTCGAGTGTTGAGTATCAGGTACTCACTGTATGCAGCTGCATACAGTTAATCAACAATTTGTCACAAGAGTGGAGATGGATGGTTTGTGTGCAGGATGCCGCTGTATATGGAGCCAAACTTTGAGGATTTGAGTTGTCGAATGGTGTTTGGCCAAAGCCCCCCTCCGCTCTCTGAGGATCCTGCGCTGCAACACGGTTGTTTCTCCACATGTCCTTCAAGTGCAGAAACAAGCCCCTGTCCAAAATTAAGATGACCAACATGCGGCTGACAGTCACTGGAGAAATGTCCCGACCAGTTTTGGTCACTTTCCACATCTTCAACTGAAAAGATACAGAAAGTTTTTCCTGCAAGTTGCAGCCTGTAAAATAGGAAATTCAATCATCGAACGATGTCGCGTTGAAGTTCGGTAGATTCCTGTAAATAGCACAAGTACTTATCCACTCCTCTTCGTGCCTCAGTGCTTCCTAATGTTTGCCAGCAGACCGTGCCGTACTCGACGTGAATTTTGCAAGCTGCAAACATCTCAAAAGCCCGAATTTAAGTGCCTACTTTTAATAACTGTATAATCGGAACTGCCATAAATGCCGAGTTTCTGGAAGATCTGCCTGAGCAGATTCGATTCAGTCTGTATTCTCGAGCTTCTAAAGCTACGTGCAAATATCGCTCATTTTATTCAAGTAGAGTCGTAGGTTGAGAAATTCCACACCAATCGAGCGAAGTGAGTTGTGTTTCAGTATTTGGTATTCAAATTCCACGAATTTTTGGCCCCCAGAAAGGTCGGAAGGAATCATCCAATAATCATCTTCCAGGTAAGTTGCCTGGAAGTTGACTGTTGGAAGACGAGCGCTTGGTTTCGACGTTACTGCGGACCGAGTTATTGACGCGAGTGGCAACGTCAGCTGGCGTCTACCGAACCTGGACCAGAGTCCTTCAACACCTCGGAAAAGTGGGGATGTGAAGTCTCGAGGATTCTACTTTGTCGGGACCACAGATGTGGACCTCAAGCCGCTCGATAACACAGACGTACACGAGGACTGGGAGCATTCTCCCGTCTGGAGTGGGAAACGAGACGTATTATCTCTAGAAGGTCTCCTGTTGTCGGTGGGTGATGAGAATAATCGTCGTTCTCCTCGACTAAGGCCCCTGCCACAATCTACGAATAGTGGTGCTTTCCAGGCACACATCTGGACGTTTGCTCGTGTCACACACTGTCACCAACCATTCTCCCTGCCAGAACTGATCATTCTCATCCTTCCATGAGGACCTTGACTTCTGTACCTGCGAGAAAATCGGTACGGCCTCCGTCCGAGGAAAGTTCAACTTTCAAGATTGAAGTTTAATAATCGCCCACTTCCGTGCTGTCTTCAAGCGTTTGTCCAAGCTTTCTAAGCATTTGCATCAAGAGAATGACGTAAGAATGTCCTTGGCTTCAAAGCCATGGATTCCTTGACAGGACAGTATTAGAGAACCTCGTACCGATTTTTAGTTGAATTCAGTCAAACCCGGCCTCCCATATTCGTACCTTTAACAAAGAAGAAATGCAAGAATTTTCCAGAGAATCGCTTCTGCACAGTCCAGTCCGTATGTACTGGAGGATGATGTGCTGTCTATCGCTTTGTGGCTGTGAGAATGTCCTCAAATTGGATGCCGTGAAGCACAAGCGCACGAGCTTGACGGTACTGAATAGGGCCACGCGAGTACAGTAGATTATTTCCTCGAGGAATTCTGGCCTTCAAATTCTCAGCGTCTCTGTTATGCCCCAACTCCTCTTTCTCAAGGTACCTCCAGCATGTCAAGATTCATTCAACAGAAGATCATGTGCAGGACTAGAGTTACGAGAAAGCTGTTCCTGATTACTGCAGTCTGAGCCTCAACGAGCTTCAACTAAACTTGAGGATCGAGTTAGGTTCACCATCTTGTAGGTCAGTTACCGGAGCAATAAATCGCTCTATCCCTAGTTGAGAAACATGCAACATTGGAGTTCCTCCATTCTGGGCCAGGTGACACGAAATGAAAACCTGTTGCATCATCAGAAGACCGACAGACAAGCTTGGAGAAATTTGTTTAGAAACCAAACAAAACCAGGAGGCATTCTGACAGCCAGTTTAGTTAATCTTGTGCAACTGCTGACGGATCAAACCGCGAAAAGGCGTTCCATTTATAATGCTCCAGGCTTTTGTGATTTGATCAGAAGTTCAAGTGCATCCTGTCCTACTACTTTCACAGTTCATTGAAGGTTGGAGGAACCTTCGATGACTTTCGCCGACAAGGCTTTACATCGTGAGATGGACAGCACTTGAAGGGTCTTTTGCTTCTGTAGGTGATGGGTATAATTGCATCTTCTAGTTTGGAAGGTTTCAGAGCACAAACATCGCAATCCAGGAGTAATGAGTTTCGCATCGCAAGATTCCCGCGGAGACTCAAGCTTTGGTCCTGTCCTCAAGCACTTGGAAGGTTGCTCAAATGGTGAACCTGACATACTTGGGCACCACAGGAGGACAATCCCGCAGGAGGCTGGCGACTCGAGTTTGCTAGCAACCTGCATGATTGCAACGAATGCCACATGAACTGACTCGAGTGTATGGGAGGAGATAACACAGTACAAAAAGGAATTCAAAAGTAAAAGTGGTGGTTGAAGAGTACAACCAAACAGAAGTTGTGGATCATACGTGCATACATGTCCATAGGCAAACTAGTACCTGCGTCGGGGGTATGGTATGGCATGCTATAGAGCAACCAAAACAATGCGCAACGCCATACAGTTCTTACTGGCTTTACGGTACGAACGAGCAGAAGATGACGAGTCCGTGCATCAGCACAAATATCTAACATACGAGAAGCGACGCGAAGATCGAGGAAAGTAGTTTTCACGCAAAATCCAAGCTCTTGCAAACCGACATGCGCTTTGGATGAGTGCGTTGAAATCAAGAATGTGATTCCAAAAGGAAAGTACGGCAGCTTGAAGGAGAAGGAAGGAAGGTCTCGATGAGGCTGCCCAGTCCGTGCCCACGATTCTAGAGGAGGCACAGGTTTGCTGCTACGTAGGGAGAAAGAAAAAGAGAGAGTGCAGTTCAGAAGGCCCCAGAATCATGGTCGTGATAGATTGTTGCCGTATGGAGCATGAGGTGAAGGCCAAAACGTTGTCCCGATGCAGTTGTCATCCGAGCACTTCCCAAGTGCATGACGTACTTCAAGCCTCTCTCTCTCTATACAAGAAGAGATCATCCAAATTTAATTCCTGTATTCACGATCACCAATATTCGTCCATTGTACGGCACTGATGATATCCACACGTGAACTCCGAAACATGGAACTGTGCTGAGATAGTATATTTTATTGCGCTCGGATCAAGCCTTTGCATGTTTACAGATTTGCAGCAGTCCTCGCGCTTCTCCCTTACAGCGGTCAAGACATGAATAGTGGCATGAAAGATGAGTGCGTGAGTCGCGCACCTTCTGAAGGCGAACTTTCTATATACCACGCACAACACCGTAGCTCGACCAAGGGTCACAGCTTTTCCATCTATCGGTTTTCTAATACATGGTCCTCCTTACACACAGAAAATGGAGCGAATCTTCAATGATTTCATACCCCAGGTCAAAATAACAATTTTACTCTGGCTCAGGGTACTTTAGCCTCAGTGTGTGCAGTACGAGAGTGAATGTTCTGAAATGTGCTAAGCCGGCAGATTCTGGACCCCACCGGATGCATGTTTTCATGGATCCTCAAGGTGAAGTATTCTGGAAAGGTAGTCCGAGGTATATCCACCGTCTGCTACCAGACCAGCTGCAACTAGCATGAGCTTCCTGTCGCTGTATCTTGGAGGTGTACCTTGTTTGGCCATCCATCTCACAGTTCTTCCCATCTTCCGGTGGCTGCTGCATTGGGTCTCGAAACTCGTCATCTCACACCATGCATGATCATTCGTATAAACAGAGGCACACCACACTCCACGTTCTGGTTCTACTACCTCATACCTGGTCATCGGTGTAAAGAAAACTATTATGCGGTATCTTCTACCCGTGCTTCTCTCCACCCCGGTATCGAGTCACTATCACCGCGTACATGATTCTCAATCTGAACAGGTATGCGAGTGATCACTGATTGATGTAGCATGTCTCGACTCCTGTAACCACGAACATGTTTACGAGAGATTCTGCTGTCAGCGAAGAGCTTTGCTTATTTCTCACTCCCAACTCGTATCTGCACTTTCTCGATTTATGATTATAAATGAGGAAGTACTGTAACGTCCAATTTAGACAATGTGAACATATAATGTTCGTTACCTATAATGTACCGGCTTCGATCACAATTCCTCATGACACATGGCTCGATTATGAAATATTCCCCAAGCAAGCATGAACACCCTACCACCAACCAGCTCGCCATGGCCTCGCACCATCGATGTAGTTCGCGTCCAATCACATATTGTTCAGCCGGTGCCTCAGCTCCAGATCACACGACCTTCTCTGGCACAGGAGACAAGCTGGAACCACTCAAGTGTGACGGTCAGCCCACCACATTGTTAAAGTTTACGGGAGTCGCACGTACCTGGCCCAGTGTTATGCTTGTCGATCTCCTGCTCTGAGTCCGAAGCTAGTGCTGGGAGAGAGACGCATACACTGTCTGCGAAAAGACCGAATAGTAAAGTAGCAGGAAATGATATATTCGTCAATCCACTGTAACACCCACCCACCCACTTCCTTGCGCTTTGGGGCACTGTCGTGATTTATGAACTGGATTAGCATTTGAGCAGGGGAAGATTCGAGGATGTGCTCGTGAGCAGCTGGAGTGACTTTGGCTCGGGAGGTGCTGCAGCGACTTTCACGACCGCTCTGTGTTGTTTTGCTCTTGGAGGTCAGGGTGCTGGTTTGGTATGGTTTGGAAGATCCTGTTTTGGCTTTTGTGGACTCCGTCTCTTCTCTCGTGGAACATTCTTCACACGAACAGTAATGGAATGAAGGGCAAGGGACAATAACTCCATCTACCAAGTTCAAAGTACCTTCTAAACCATCAACAGTTTGCTTGTCTGTCTGCCTGCTTGGCGAATACTCGCTCATTGACAACTACTACTCTTGAGCTCCGGTGCAACTCACTTTCTGTCCCTACTCATAAATATGTAGATAAGAATAATATTTCCGGATTTTAAAAGTGGGAATAATGGACCTTGCTGCTCTAGCTTCGACTGGCAGGCTTTTTGGGGCCATTCATTGTTATATTATTCATTACATTATGCAGGAGAAAACCCTGCTGGTGTATAGGCCCAGCTTTTCCCTTTCTTGGACTTCAGAAGTGATGTCGATAGATAGAATATCAGAATGAGTCCAAAGTGATGTCAGAAATCATGGCACTCTACCGCCGTAGCTTGACATCAGATGAGCAATCCCCTGGAATCATGCTTGTGTATTCGCATTTGCCATATAAGAGTGTCTCTGTTGAGCTGCATTAGTATTTTATCATCAATGATCCAGGTCCGGCGTTCTGAAGTTTTACAGTCTACCTTCGAAATTTCTCCGAGTGATACAAGATGCATGCAGACAGAATCTCCATGTAAACAGCGAAATCATATCGAGACTCATGTTCCTACGACTTTAGCTCCAAAGTGGCAGGCTTTTGAGCACTCTATCCCTTCTAAACTTACTCCATGTCAACAGAATTGTTATCTACGAGAATGTTTCTCGATTTATTCTCCCTCGGCGAGGCTCCTGGAGTCCAACAATAGGCCCAAATAGCTTTCATCTATATGAAATTCGCAGTCATTATCTCAAATCGAGATAAAGCTCTAGCTTTCAACCACGACATAAAATATCTTCCCGAAGGTATCCATAAACTGGAGCTAGAGCACCTAGCGTAGCTCCTGTTTTCCTTTTGACTCGATCGCTCTAGAAAATGCTGCACTAGGAAGAATATCTGACAGATGATGAGTTGTGACAGCTGATATTTCATCCTTCGTATTTTGGGTATATGTTCTCTACGCATATACATATTTACCAGTACTTTACTGTACTTCATAATGGCGAAGACCAATCTGGATTTTCTTCTATGACATCCTATACTACCCGTCGAAGCTCTTTGCATCTATCTGCTCGTGACAACTCACGAGCATGTCTTTCGAACATCAATCCTTCCCCAGTTCATATGGCGCATCCACGTAGAACATCCAGAAGAGTATGTACATAATGCGGAGGTGAAATTGAGTTTTAAGGTTACAGAGCGGCGACATAAGAATAAATGAAAAAGTCACCTGACACGTCTTCCCTTTCTAGTTCGTTTCATGTGTGACGGAAAATTACAACTATATTGAACTTCTATGTACTTAGAGAGATGATTTACCTCACTTCTTCAACTCTTTGCCCACCCAGAGCTCTACAATTTACTCCTGTGGACTGGAAGTCTTCCGTCTACCTTTAAGGACCTACACTTATAGTTTCAATATATGCTATATATTACATCGAGAGCATGCATCCGGTCACTCTTCACGCTACTATAGCTTGTCAACGATTTTATTTAGCAAGCATGCAGGCTACTTGATCTCAGCACGATCATGCATTGAGGTTTCTGAATCTGTGAATTTGCACCAGCTATTTATCTACCTATTTATCGTACTCTACAGCGTAGGTTATCCATCCATCTATATTTCCATTGGTGACATGTGAGTGAGAATCTACAATATATGCATTGAGTATGAGACTCATAATCATTATTTCGAATGTGGGTTACTAGCTTAAATGCCTCAAGTGTCCATATGACTCATCTTCACATGCCACTGTGATATCACCTAATATGCATCAAGTATAAATTTGACTCGTTCGTCATTTGAATGGCTAAATTTATTGACTCATATCATCAGTACGAATTTTAAATCTTATGGTGGCTTGAGATGATAGGTGTCTCACATTTGTGATGGAAAATGCATTGAACTCGTACTTTTGCAAAAATTATCTCATAACGTAGAAACTTATGTGAAGATTCAAAGATATCAATTGAAGTCAATTGAGAAGTTAGCGTCATTTGCAAAAAAAAAATTTGATTAAGATAAAAAGCACATTTAGAGTACTTAATATTGAGGAAATAGAGTTCCAATTAGTGCTCATGAATCTTCAATTCAGAAGTTGAGACTTAGAGAATGCGGCTGTTGTGGAAAATAGTTAGTGTACAAAACTTGTATTCTTTCAATCACAAAGTGAGTTTAGCTGGACTCTTCTACGTTATAATGATCATCAATGTGTTCTTGTAGACGTTTAAAGAGTAAAATAATCAACTTCATACACTATGAGTGAATTTCAGAGAGAGATTTTGGTGAGATTGATCTTGAATGTTAAAGTCGAGTATTTGTACACTAGTTTCAGAAGCTCAAAGAAGCACTAAAGGATATATACTTGAAAAGAAAGTAGTATTTAGGCGAAGCTTAGGATGGATTGAGTATCAATTCTGGAAACTGTTTACGATATAATTTTAGGCAGTTTAGTCAGATTTCAAATTATAATTTATCGAATTGGAATTGAATGTATTCCAGAATTTTAAATCATTTTTCTTTGTTTTAACTCAGATTTTTTCGACTTTAAAAGTTTTATTCTCTACTTTGATGCATGTCTTGAAATAAAATATCTTAGTTTGTAGTTTTGAGATTCATTACTTCATCATGTAAAAGACTGAAATTTTGGCAAAATTCATATATTTGCATTATATACTTAAAGTAGATTATCTAGAGCTGGAGAAATGAAAGTTGAAACAACAACGATAAAAGTTCAACGACATAGAATCAAACATGATATGATTCTAAAATTTTTTTGATAAAGATAAAAGTTTTTGTATGAAAAATCAGATTATTTTGAAAGATTGTTAATAAATTTAAGAAACCAATTTTTTAAAATTTATAATAAAATGATGAATATGGAAAGTTTGATATTTTAGTTTGTCACATTGAATTTATAAAATCTTATTTCATCCTTGTGAAAAAATTTCAATCTTAATATTCCAAATGTATCAAAAAAATTAAATATTGTGGAGTGAAGATTAGAAAAAATTAAAATAATATTGAATACAAATCCTCTTTCAATTTTTTTAATCATTTCAAATCTTATTATTACAGGTATGAATGAAATCTGTGAATACAAAATAATTTTCAGTAATAAAATATATTTTGTTATTGTAATCACATGTTCTCAATTTAAAAAATTTGAAGGTTACTTAAAAAAATTTTCATGTAATAACCTTATAATTTTTTGTAATTATTCTAAAATATTAAACTTGATATATGTTTTTGGAAAACATTGAATAATTTGCTGGAAATAAGAGTTCTTGTAACATCTTAGATAAATTCAAAATATTCACATTTTTACTGTATTCACATGTATTGATTGTTGTTTTAGATCAATTCAACTCAATAACAAAGACATTGTGCTTTACTTCAACTCCGTAGCTCAAGATTCATTGAATCATGACCAGTGTTGTGCTAATTTGCTGTACACCATAATGATGTTTTACATATATCATTCTATAGGTTATAAATCTAAATGATTAGAAGTAGATCAAATAAAAAAAATTGTGAACAATGCTAACAATAATGAAAGCATGATGAAATATCAATGTATTGTACAAAATTATTTATGGCCATCAAGAAAAATTAGCAAGAGATTATAGAAAAAATATTCTTATTATTATAGTTATTGGATGTTACTTGCAAGATAGAAAATATAGTGATAATTTTTTATCATTATTTATTAGCTTGTATAAATTATCAAATAGACGATTTTCTGAACAATATATGGCAAGTAACCAAAAACTTTGCTGATTTACAATGATTTCTTGCTAAATTTGAAATATAATATAAACATGATTTATTTATATAATTAGAATGTATCTTTTATTTGTATTTTCAATATCAATTTATGACATTATTTAATTGAATGATCATAATTGACATTCATGTATAAACTAAATAAAACGATGTTTTCTTACGTAAGACAAAAGCATTAACATCTTGACAAATTTTTTTGACTGAATCTTGATTCAATTTATGTGAATCATCATATTTAATTAAAAAAAAGGATAAGATACAAATAGATTAGTTCATGAATTTGCTATCAAGATTTTTTTTATTCATTAAAATAAATATAGCAGTGTTTACAATCTCTAATCAATATAGCAACAAAGAATAATAATCTTAGTAATATATTATATGTTCCAAGTCTCGACAATACATAAATTTAATGAGATTTTAGTTTATATATTATAATACTCACATATAATACATTTTTTGATTCATAATTTTATCTTAAATGAAATACATAGCATCAATTATAGAAATCATATTATATATGACTTATAGATGAATTTATGAAGGGGACGACTGGGTACACATCCGTTTTTACTAGTGCCACACCCGTTTTTGCTACGGCCACACCCGCCCGTGTTAGTTGCCTTGATCAAAGCCCCCGAAGGGAGTTGAAGGGGCATGGCAGTCAAAATAGATCAATAGAACGGCAGCACCAGCGGCAGCGGTACAAGCGGCAGCGACGGCCGCAGCGGCCCCGCGCCCCTCGAAGCCTCTTGACTACGCTCTCCTTTGCCTCGCTGACGAGCTCGGCTTAGCAGCTGGGTTTGAGGGGAGGCGTGCTTTGACGCGCAATCAGTTGTTTGTATGTAACAGGTGTGGCCGTAGCAAAAACGGGTGTGGCCCTAGTCGTCACCATTTATGAATTACACACACAAATAGCTTCATAAACGGAGAAGAAGTTCTAGTATGTTGAATATCTTCAAAGGATGCATTTAGGCAGCTATATGAGTGAGTTAATTTGGGTAGGAGTTAAAGTTTGTTGCTTATAATCACATCAAATTTCTTGAACAAAAATTCTAGTTTA